TGCAAGAGGCATCAAAGTACAATTATTATCTTTGCCGGGACAGACAGAATGGTTGTGTAACAGCTCCAAGGCTGAAAAGCACAAGGCAAAAGGACTGCTTACATCAAGGGAAAGGCAGGAAAAAGAAGCAGAGTAATTAAACCGCTCTGGGTACAAGAAGAATCACTTTGTGGTGACTGAGGACAAGCAACTCATTCTATGAAACAGAGAAGATTTTTATCTGTAAAAGCTGAGCCTGCCTGCCAAGGTCAGAAGAATTGGAGGCCTGTGGACTAGGGAGAGAGGAAGTGAAATGAAATATATTAAGAAAACATGTATTAGCTAACCATGATCATCCAGGGATCAGTCAAGCATTTGTTAAGTTGGAAGAAACCAAGAGTCTAAACCTCTAGACTCTGCCACTGGTGTCTTTGCAATGCAGTGGGCGATCGGGTTGAGTATAAGGCTGCAAACTGGTCTGTAGCCATGTCTGAAACTTTTCTACTAGTCTCATCTACAACAGAATTAAGGGTTAATTATTTGGAGACTCTTGTTTGCTAAGTCTGAGTTGGAAGTCTGACATTATCTAGCTTTACCATGACAAGGATCCAGGTAGTTCTGCCAGGTTTAGCTGGGATCTCCTAGTTCTAAGGAAATGGTGCCAGTTTTTGCTGAATTAGTTCCAGAAACTCCTGACAGGAGTTGAGGACATATATAATTTAGTGATCTGGTAGAATGGTAAAGGTAGGTAGTTACAGAAGGGTAATTCAGGCCGAGGTCCAGGTTCCCACAGAATACCAAACTCTGCATAGACACAGGCTTCATACCTCTTGGGAGCCTTTGGCGTAGGTGGCACAGTGAGGGTGTGCAAGCTCTTTGGGGCTGATGGCCGAGCTTGGGAGGCAGGTATTGGCAGCCTGGAAGAGCCAGAATCCACCTTTGGAAACTTCACCGTAGGGTATTTGCCGGTTGGTTGTCCTTGGGCAGGAAAGAAATGTAGGTTACTGACAATATGGCCTCAAGCAAATTCCAAAATGCTCAAAAACATGGCTGTAGATTACAATCAATAATCTCTGGCAGCTTCCTCTGCTTTGCTCAGTTATGCCCTTGTTCCTAGATTATTTTCTGAAGAAAATTCAAGTCATCTTTTGAAGGCATCAGAATGTTTGTAAAATGTTTATATAACTCAACCTCTATGGCAGCCAGAAAATGGAAAGAGTTGGGTTAAGAAATGAAGTGAAATCAGATGTTATTATTTTCATAGGCAAGATATCCCATCTGCCGTTAGAAGATGCTTCTCTAGAATCTTTCACCATGTATTTATGATTCAGTATTGGCTAACTTATTGTTATTGTTGTTGTCATACTACCCTGTTCCCCCCAAATAAGACATCCCCTGATAATAAGCCCAATTAGGCTTTTGAGTGCATGGCAATAAGTCCAAGCACTTATTTCAGGGTTCAAAAAAATATAAGACAGGATCTTATTTTCGGGGAAACATGGTAGTATCACAAATTCTTATTGAAGTTCTTTCTTATTAGTTTCATTAGTTGCCTTGGCCACCATTTTGAGAGCTTTTGACCACGCTTTGCGAACTCCCGTGGTGGCCTGAAAATGTTTTATTTCCAGATAATGCTAAAATGACTATTAAATGCAAATAACATCTGAATCTTTACATAGATTTAATCTAGGGTTGGAGTCCCTTTCTGAAATGGATGCAATATTTAGGTTGGTTTATTTTATTTATTTTTGACATTATTGCCAAACAGCTTTCTCAGCAGTCTTTCCTTATCTTCTGTCTCAGAGCTGCAAACCTTCTGGCTGACAAGGCCCATTGCCCACTCTCCATTTTCAGGAGTCCTGAGGGATGGGTTTATTAATCTTTTCTCATTCCTGTATCCCTTTTAATGAATGCCTGCCCCCAAAATTGTGCACATTTCTTCTACATTTTGGAGGCAACATATATTGCTCCCTATAGAAATAACACCCTGTTTGGAACTAAGCCCCAAAGTGCAGGAAGGTCAGCCAGGAAAGCTGCAAGCACTAAAGTCTTGGCAGGTGCTACGTTACCCCCGATGCCCAAGCGGGAAGCTTCTTCCTTCTGAAAACTGGGGTTGCTCAGGCCAGCCTTCGGTTTCCTAGGGACGAGGACGGGGATGTGGGAGGGAGGAGCAGAGCTGTGGTAGCTGGGGACATTGGGCAACTCTTCCACGGCGGCTGAGCAGGAAAGGGAGGCATGCAGATGACGGCGCGGCTTCTTGGGCACCAGGCGAACCAGCTCCACAGCGCGGGTTGGCCTGGACATGGCGGCACTAGGGAGCCAGGTGCTTCAGGGTGAGGCTGTGGGGCTGGGAACTGCAAGAAGAAACACACAACCACCCAGTGAGGAGGGGCGACACTCTACCCGCAGGGGGGCCCTTTCCTGGCCAAGAGGGGAAGACGGCCTCTCCTGGGAGCCAAAGAAGGCCCAGCCAGTGGGAACTCTCCCCAAGAGAGTGGGGCCTTGATGCCCACACCTAACTCTGGTCTGAGGCACTGAGGAGCCCAAATTCAGCACCAAAACAGCCTTTTCAGAGCAGTATCTGTCATTAAAACTAGCCTACAACTCTTTGCATGCATCCTTAACTCCCCTCCAAACCACCACCAACCCTCAGTGCAAAAGAAAACAAGGAAAAAGGCAGAGGCCGAATGCTGAACTTTGGCCAGTGGAATTTCTGAGGGTGTCACTGGTTTATGACACCCCCTGTAGTCCTCAGGGACCAAATAATGGGGTGGGGGGGTATGAGTGGATTGAAAACATTGCCAGGGAACAGTCTTCATTTGTAAGCAAATCTGAAGTATCTGGAGATAACCATTCATTTTTATAGTTGTTTAACCCTGGTTTCTAGGCCTCTCCATAGGTTGTGATCAAAAAGGTCAAGATGGCAGCTTCATTGGCCTGATCAGTCTCTCCCCTTGCTTATTATGTGCACCAATTGCACTTTTTTGACCAAGCCCTGCAAGCACCCTGTTAGCTTCTGTGCACCAAATGCTGCCCTTGCACTCCCTGGAAGAGAACCCAGTGGCTCACCTGGTGGAATTGTGGACCTGAGGGGCTGCCCTGCACAGAGAGGGGGCAGACCGTCCTGGGTGAAGTGCACAGAACCTGCAGGTGCCACCAAGGCAGCTGCTGTTGCCTCCTTTCTCTGAAAACAAACAAACAACAGAGAACAGAGAACATTAACATGGAAAAGCATCCCATCATCCCAAAATAGCAGGAGTGCTGATTTTTTAACATATACCATAAAGATTTTGGAAGGAACTTTTATTCCATTGAATTATTTATCAACATATAAAACATAATTGAATTACTATGCTCTCAATTGGTCCACCAATCAACCAAATATGTGCATCCACTACTGGATCTCTACACAGCTTTATTAAACAATGGTAGAATTCTTAACAACATATTTAATTGGCTAAATTATCACATTACACTAAACAAGAATGTGGTTTGTCTAGCTTAGCCTTAGCATGTTTTTGCAAACTTATCTCTCTTGGCTATGAACCATGGCTTGTGACTTACTTCTATACCAATTCAACAAATCAGGCTTAATGTGATGTATGAACCCTATATCCAATTGACTGTAAGACTTGAACTAAATATGGTTTTGTGGAGACCCTTCTGTTTGAACAAAGCAAAATTAGCAGAAGATCCTCCCAGGCCTCAGTGCTAGAAAGGCATCGACCTTTCCCAAGCCCAAACGGTCTGAAGCCAAAGGAAGAGATTGTAGTACAGTGGACTAAAGCACTGTAATTAACATCTGCTGCTTGCAATTACTGCAAGTTCAAATCTCACCAGGCTCAAGGTTGACTCAGCTTTCCATCCTTTCAAAGGTAGGTAAAATGAGGACCCAGTTTGTGGGGGCAATAAGCTGACTTTGTATAAAATATACAAAAGTAGGAAGGCTATTGCTGAGCCCATTGTAAGCCTCCCTGAGTCTCCGGAGAAGGGCGGCATATAAATTAAAGCAAAAAAAAAAAAAAGGTTCTGAAGGCCATGTACAAAATGTTCTCCAACAATGATTTGGAATATTAATAGTAGTAGCAGTATTTATATAATGTTTCCTATCATTTCAATTATAGGAAAGCTCATTTCAGTTGAGAGTTAAGAAATATTTCCTAACAATAAGAGCAGTTTTATTATTGTGAAACAAATTACTGAGAGGATAAATAAATGAATAAACGTAGAAATACATAAACAGACACCAACCTGAATTAAGGGATTTGCAATGTCTCTCCTTGCCTCAACTTTTGCTGAAGTCAGTTGTCCCAATGTGCCACTATTTGAAGCTTCCCTGGGACAAAAACCGAGTCATCGGGATCAGATGGAAAGTCAGAATGGAATCTTACAATCCGAGGTCCTCTGGATTCAGATCAGCTGCAGCATTCACACAGCTCATGTTAGCCAAGACCTTCAAATGGAGGGTGCCACAACCCAGAACTACCTGAATATCATCGCCAGGGCTTACTCCTGGCACTGCCATGAAGGTTATTTGCCTGGCTATTAAACTTCCTGAAGTTGCAAACCTAGTGGCTATTCCAATAGCACTGGTGAGCTGCCCACTCTGCCCACTCTGCACAGCACAAAGACGTGGTATAAATCAAACAGACGAATAAACCAGGGTGGGGGGGGCACATTTTGCAGTTGCACATGGGAAGTTTGAGTATGCACCAAATGCTCCCCAACCTCTTGGGTTACATCCTGATGTAACAAGGAAGCAAATGGGGTGAGAGGAGGAGGAGGGTCCCGAGGTCTCCTCTCTCCTCTGGGTCCCAGAGGTACCTTGCCTATCAGAGTGAAATCTCACGGTTGTGGAAGGAGATTCCTTCCGGAGATCTCTAGGCAAAGACGTTCAACAAAACAACAGACAATCTATATCTCTATATATCGGGCCTTCTCACAAGACATGGAAATTGTGCTTCCCCATCACAAGGTAGGAAGAATTCAATTAATTGGAAAGTGAAAGGTGTGTTGTTTGTAAGAAATTTTAAAAAATGGCCTCCTCTTCTCCACTGAAGGCCATCCTTCACTACTTTTCCAGAATCTGGATTTAAGCAAGTACCTTTGACTCATGAGCCTGACATCAAATGAGCCCAGTTGAATTTATAATGGGAAGCATCACAGAAAAAACCCGAGCCCAGAACAAGGAAGCAGCAGCTGAAGATGCACCTACTCACCTCTTTGGATCACATTCCTCCAAGGGCAGAGCACTTCATCTCGCCCTTCCATCAACCCTCGGGATTTGCTCCATCCTTCCAAAAGGCTTCCCTGTCTGATGGTGCTACAATAATCCGCAACAGCTTCAGAGCCAGAATTTTGCCACTGTTTTAGATGCTGTTGGTTTAAACTGCCTGTCCCTTTTCCTCCTTACGTGGGATGTGTTTGTTTTGCTGTGTGGGACCTGCCCCCGTCCACCCGGCCTGCAGCCCAGCAGTGCTTGGGGACCGAAGACCTGCTGTCTCCAGGAGCAGGGCAGTTGCTAGGAAGGAAAACGAGTCACCAGGCGACTCGGATGGTTACTAAGCACCGTGCATCACTGCAAGCCCTCGGAAACGCTAACAGAGGCTCTTTCAGAGTGCTGCCTTTGATGTGGTGCTTTGGCGACTTCAGAAACGAATGCAGGAACAGTGCAAGGGGAGGCCTCTGGCACTTCTGTTTTTCAGCTACACTGCAACCTTCTGCTTTTTTAGGGGGAAGTCAAAGGGTTTAGAAAGTATTTAATTTCTATTACTGCAACAAATGCCTGAAGCTGTTCTTTTAGAAACATGATTCGTTTGCGCTCCTGGGAGGCATTAACATTGCTTGAAGCCAAGGATTTCTTTTTCACATCTGTTTGAGGAAGGATGAAGTGACCTCCAGAAGAAGGGCTGATCTTCTTACCTCTAATTCTGAATGCAAAGGAGACTTTGGCTCACAGGTACTCAGACAAGACCAACATGGAAATGGGAATAAAAACAAACTCAAAGGAAAAGCAAGATCTGCTACTCTGCCATGGCCAAAACCTTCAGTCTGGCAAGGGCTTCTTTCCATCACAGGTTCTTTATTTCAATTCTCTCTTCTTTGTCTACAGGAGCTGAAGGGCACACATAACGCCCCTGTCCCTATTTGACCCGTGGCAGCTCTCTGGGGAAGAGGCTTGGGCTGAGAGGGCCAAAAGAAGAGCCAGATCTTGGACTGGAACCACCCAGGCCCACCCTGGGCTGAGAGGGAGACCTATCCCAAAGTCACCCAGGGAGCTTCTAGCACTGAGGACTAGAACCTGGCTCTCCCTGCTCCTAGCCCAGCACCCTCAGCATTAACCACATGGGTTTTCCCAAAGGAACCGTCCACCTCTGCCCATTGCTGTTTGAGTCCTTCCTTGAAGGGGCAGTGGAAGAAGCAAGAAGAGTCTGCAGCTCAGGAAAAATGCTCTGGAGAATCTGGGATCCCATCCAGCCTTTGCTAGGCAGGCATTGTCCAGGCCCCCAGACCCCTCTGCCCCCCACCAGGTAAGGCCTTGGTTTCTGTGGCCACAGCTCCCCCATCATCTCCCATCTGTCCTGAAGGACCATTCGTTAGTGCCTACCTCCTTCTTTCCTGCTGGCTTCCATAGCGCTTCCTCCCTGGGCTGGGGGGAGAGCCCAGATGATACTCGGGTAGGTAGGACCAACATCTCACTTCCACCTGGATCTCACCATCATCTTCTGCATCCCTCTCCATGGAAAAGGTACAGGCTGAAAAAGAGAAAGCAAGGCTAAGCGGTGAAGTTGGGCTTTACAGGGGCAAGGGAAGAAATGGTTCCTAAGATAACTTTAGGAAAGAAAGGGGCATCAGTTTCCACAGAAAGGAATGTGGAATACTTGTGGCTCCAGACTGAATAGCCCTGCCTGATTCAGACTCTTCGCTTGCTCATTAAACAACCTAGATGGAATCTGGACTCATAAGACTCAGAAGTCACCTGAATGGCTGCATGACTTTCTCTCAGTTGCCACAATTGGCAGGGGACTCTGGCACGAAGGGCCTTCACTTCAGGTCCCAGTTACAGAAAAGGTTAAGGGTCCTGGCCTGTTTCAGCTGGCTGTCTTTCCTTGGGAACAAATCTCCTGCGTGCCTACAGCACAGCTTCTTCGAAAGACAACAGCAGCTTCCAGTTTCATTTCCTCATGAATCTTCCTGGATAATCGGGGCTCCATCTTGACCTATTTTGTGGCTGGATTGGGTTGTTGTAAGAATAGGATGAGGGGAAGCAAACCACTATCAGTGGGTCTCTGCCGTTGGGACATTTGCCTCAGGTGGAACTCAGTAAAGTACTCTGACAGATATAACATCAGTATGTTTGTAAATTGAAACACTATTCTGGGAGGAAGTGGACTTTTTGTTTCAACCATGAGGTCCTTCGATAGAGTGGCAGGAGGTAAGATGCAAGATTGAGAACATTGGTGTACTGGTGTGCCTCAGACAAAGGCTGAGCTATTTCAGGGGCGCGTTTCAAAACCCGTTGCTACCAGTTCGCTCGTGGGTTATATGTACAATGCACTAAATAAAAATTAGGACCAATTTGTACAACTGAGATTCAGAATCTGAGATTCAGGCAATTCAGGACCTGTGGAAGCCTCCTTTGACTAGGCTCCCAATCATTACTTCATGTAATTAGTTGTAGATTCTTTTAATTAAAAAGGGGAAATAAATGGAAAGATAATGTTCTGGAGAGCATAGCATCATCTTTTTATCCCAGGGCTCCACAGGTTCTTTGTGGAGATCTTCTGGCTATTTATGGAACCTAAAAATGTTGAGTGAGTATGAGAGCTTGCTTGAAAATGTATTTACAGTCTAGAAAAAAGAAAGAAGTAAAAGTAAGCTGAGGTAATTGAGGCCATTTGGTATCCAGAAAGTTGCTGGAAAGCTTGATTTCCACTGCAGAGGGAACTTGCTCTTTCATAGGTAGTGCTCCTCCATCCAGAGAAGCACCAACAAAGAGCCCAGATGTTGAAACAGCAACTTCATCTTCATCTTTTCATCAATGTGGTGATGCGTGGTGCGACCGTGGTGCGACCGGAACAATCTGGAACTGAACACACTCAAAACCGTAGAAATGGTGGTAGACTTTAGGAGAAACCCTTCCATACTTCCACCTCTCACAATACTAGATAACACAGTATCAACAGTAGAGACCTTTCTGCACCAACTCAGGAAGCTCAAACTGCCCAAGGAGCTGCTGATCCAGTTCTACAGAGGAATTATTGAGTCTGTCATCTGCACCTCTATAACTGTCTGGTTTGGCTCTGCAACCCAACAAAACAGACACAGACTTCAGAGGATAATTAGAACTGCAGAAAAAACAATGGCTACCAACCTGCCTTCCATTGAGGACCTGTATACAGCACGAGTCAAAAATAGGGCTGTGAAAATATCTACAGACCCCTCACATCCTGGACATAAACTGTTTCAACTCCTACCCTCAAAACGACGCTATAGAGCACTGCACACCAGAACAACTAGACACAAGAACAGTTTTTTCCTGAACGCCATCACTCTGCTAAATAAATAATTTCCACAACACTGTCAAACTATTTACTAAGTCTTACTTAGACTTAGTAGATTTACTTAATCTTCCCATCGTTCACACCGCCCATCTCCTCCCACTTAGGACTGTATGACTGTAACTTTGTTGCTTGTATCCTTACAATTTATATTGTTTCCTGATTGTTTATTGCTCCCTATGACTATCATTAAGTGTTGTACCTTATGATTCTTGACAAATGTATCTTTTCTTTTAGGTACTCCGAGAGCATATGCACCAAGATAAATTCCTTGCGTGTCCAATCACACTTGGCCAATAAAAGAAAATTCTATTCTATTCTATTCTATTCTATTCTATTCTATTCTATTCTATTCTATTCTATTCTATTCTATGTAAATAAACCTGGTGAGCCATAAGGAAGATATTGTTGCAGGCTCATCAGTAGGGAACATTCCTGACTCTCAAAGGCTGGCTAGAACTGCAGATGCTCCCTGCTGGATGCTCCCGCAATGCCCAGCAAGAATCCTGGGAAGCAGTTAAATTGGAGATTATTTCACAGGCGCACAAGCAGCCAAGCATCAAGTTGGTGCCAAATGGGAAATCTTCACGAAGATCATAAACTGCTGTCTCTGGTTGCTCCAGGATTGCCCTTTTCCAGGGCCATAATTGGCTGTAGTTGTTTTGGCACTCAGACCCCATGCTCAGCTGGGTCATCTTAGGATGTAGCATGTTGTGCAGACAAGACAGCACAAAGGGCACAGGCAGGGCCAAGAGCACAGATTAACCCCATCCACAGTTAGGAGCCCAGGATGAACCAGACTGCCTTGTTCACTGAGAAACCAGATCCGATCAATTGGCAAGTAGTATCCAACCCCCAAATGGTCAGTCAGCTCTCCAAGAAAAATGGATGGAGCCATACAAAGCCAACAGAATTACAAATTTGGAAGGGACCTTGGAGGTCTCCTAATCTGCACAAGCAGGAGACCCTATCCCACTCCAGACAAGTGGCTGTCCAGTCTCTTCTTAAAAACCTCCAGTGATGGAGCACCCACAACTTCTGGAGATAAGCCATTCCACTGATTAATTGTTCTCACTGTCAGGAAGTTTCTCCTTAGTTCTAGGTTGCTTCTGTCCTTGATTAGTTTCTGTCTGTTGCTTCTTGTTTTGCCTTCCGGTGCTTTGGAGAATAGGTTCATCCCTTCATCTCTGTAGGAGCCCCTCACAACATTGCTATCATGTCGCCCCTAGTCGTTCTTTTCATTAAACTAGACCTATCCAATTCCTGCAACCATTCTTTGTGCATTTTAGCTTCCAGCCCCCTAATCATCTTTGTTGCTTTTCTCTGTACTCTTTCCAGAGTTTCAACATCTTTTTTATATTGTTGTGACCAAAACTGGATGCAGTATTCCAAATGTGGCCTTACCAAGGCCTTATAAACCGATACTAACACTTCATGTGATCTTGTTCCGGCACTCACTGCTAAAGCCTGCCAGGTGAAGGGCCCTTGATCTGATACCACAAGAGTGAAATTTGATTGGCTTTGGACTGAGTGACATGTGACCCCAGCTATTGAGAAACCTGTGGCAACTTAAAAGTTAGCCATTTTATTAGGATATAGATTTTTTTGGGAGAAGACTCTTCTCAGATTTGGAGATGAGGTCCAGGAAAGTGTTGGGGTTGTTTTTTAAATCCACAGGACCTCCCAGTGCAGGCAGATTAATGTGAATGATGTAGGAATAGTATAGGGTCAGCTATATGAACACTGAAGGACCCTCATTATTCACATTATTATAAGAAAGAAATGTGCTTGTTTAGAGATTACACTAAGTCAGCTAAATTCCATTCTTGGTAATATATATCTTCTGAGGGGCCTAGCTGTCAAGGATGTAAAGACATGCAAAGACATCCATCTGAAACAAAAAGTTACTCATTATCCAAAAGCAGCCATGAATCTATGCATCAGCAGTCACAGAATTGAGGAAGGATGTTTAGCTAAAATAATCTTATGAACTAGAAAATAATGAAAGAATTTAGTAATTAGAAAGTGTCAATTATCATGTAACAAAAGTATGTTAACCATATATGGAAAACTGCTGTGCTCGCAAAATCCTTTGTCTTGCAGATGTATAAAAGCAGTTGTATCAGAGCTCTTCTTGGTCCAGAATTGCAGATACAAATCTGGTTCTGAAACTGCGCAATAAAACTGTCTCTGGCTGACTCAGGAATGTTGTTTGGTCCCATCATTCCATAACAAGATGATTCACACATGACCCAGTCCTGCTGCAGATGTAGTCCTGACTGAGGGTGGGCTCTAGAAACAGCCCTGATTGGGTCTTGGAGCAGAAGAGGTGAAAAAGAGCAGGGGCTGCAAAAAGAGCACGAACAGCCAAGCAAGGAAGGTCTCAAATGGCAACAGGAACGGTGGAAGAAACAGCCAGGACTCTGAATGCCAACTGAAAGTCCATCCCTTGGCTCTCCCTGGTTCCCTGGCTGCTCTGGCCAGATCCTGCTTTTCGGATTCGAAGCAGGCAGTACACACAAGTTTTGACTTCACAACAAGCAGAGTCACTGGAGACTTTGGTAGATGCTGCAGAGAGAATCCCTGCTATTCTCCAGGAATTTGAAACACTTAACATTTGCCTCTGTTGAAGGGATTGCCACTCATGGGAACTTCTGCAGTTTTGCTCAGTTTGTTAGTCCTTAACTGCGCTGCTAGGCTCTTGCTGATTTGAGGCAATCTTCGTAATGTGTTCCTACACTTCCGCTCCCATCCTCCCCAGCAGAATGCCACCTCTGCAGAAAGAGGAGAGTGATGCTTCTCTCTCCCCAAGGAGGGGAGCCCAATGAACCCCCGAGGGGAGGTGCCTCACTCACCTCATTCTCAGTGGGGCAGCCTGGAAAAAGAACAGAGGAGGGAAGGGTCCCAAAATGTTTGCACAGACCCACTTTCACAAGGCCAGAAGGTTCTCCGTTCTCTGCCCCCAGGGCCATGCAAAGGATCATGTCTGGGCTGGGAGTGAGAAGTTGAGGACTGCATGCCGAAAACCTAGGGGCAGGGGGTGGGTGGGTGGGTTTGCCAGAGCAAACATCAAACTGATTGCATCTAATTTGCATCCTAACCACATGTAATTGAAGTGAAATAGTTAACATAGTGCACAGGGGTTTTTTTGCCTGTCAAATTGAAATAGCCTTTGTGTAGCAACTTCTGGGATGTCTCAACCAAGATTTTCAGGGTCTCACAAGGCCCAGGGGTCTAAGGAGGTGGGAGATCCCACCATAGTTGGCTGGGCCAGGCAGGCTCTGAGGCTGTATCAGGTGCTCTTGTGCCTTGCTGCAGAGGCTCTCGCCTGGCCTGGAAATTATTTGCAACCTATCCTGGCAAGACCAAGCAAATGTCAGGATGCCCTGGAGTTTGAAGGTTGTGGCAGAAGACTAGGATAAGAAGGAGGCTCAACTAGATCTATAGATTCTGGCCCTCCAGGAGAAGATACAGCAGAAAGCTCCATCTTGCAGGTGGCCATGACCAGATGAAGTGCTTCAATAGAGAAGGTGCAGACAGTAAGCCACAATGCACATCCTGGCTTCTTAAATAAGGCTTTGTGGCCATAGAATCTTTTCATTATCCTAATGAAGGAGAGTTGGAGTTATCTGAGTCCCATTTCCTGCTAACCTCTTGGTTGGTTAGGGGTTCCCTATGTTGCCTAATCACACTAATTGATTTCCCTCATTTAACCCCAAAGAGAAAAACATTGACAGATCCATGCCAGGTAGGGAAGTGAGCGGTGCAAGATAGGAGTCCTATGGAATCTGCCTTTGGCTGACTTTGGGGTACAGAAAAATTGATGTTAAGTTTGGGGTACTATCAGTGATTTCATTTAATTTTCATTTAATTTCATTCCATTCAGTTAATTTAGATTTTACTGGATTGAGTGAATGCTCCCCAGAAAGCATCAATTTGATAACTGAGCCTACAGTGTTGTTGTGAACACAGCCAACATTGGCATGACAACAGGTGGGATGGAAGCCTCCATAATTCCAGAAGAACTACACCTGATGGGACACAGGAAAGATGGAGGCACAGCTGTTGGTATACTGCAAGTCTGGACACATTCAATAATATGATTTGAAAAAGAAATGCTGATTAAAACTAATTTTATCCAAGTAAGCCCCCAAATTAGCAGTTTTTGCTATAAACTTTTGAGGCACAACCAACCCTCAACTTTCAAGGAGAGGCACTAATCCTAAGTGACCATCAGATGGAGCCACAAAGTCCCTAAATTGTCCCTATGTTCAATGTGGCTTTAACCAGGGCATGTGACCCCTAGCTAAGAAGACCTTCAGAGGAGGAATGATCTCGAAGGCCACAGTCCCCAACTCTCCAGAGGTTGCTTTTTTCATAGACCTGTAACCCAGAAAAGCATCTCACATTCAAAATCTGCTATAAGGTTTACTTTATTTTATTTTGGAAAAGAAACCCTTTGAACTCTGGTTTTTCATGATTCTGACTCAATATGCACCCCCAAAAGTCAGGCTGGCTTCACTTGGTTCATGAAAAGAGATCTCCAAAACCATCCGTGTCCATTTGTTTCAGGGGTGCTAAGCCCCTTTGCTTGCTGAAACAAAAGGAGAAGGGAGGAAAGTTAGATGACCGTGAACTGCTTGGGCTGGAAGAAGGGCGAGAAGGCTGGCACTTTCCTCACAGATAAGTGAGCGGGTGCTCCTCAGGTGGGCTCGGCTCCACTTGCAGTTGCCAAAGGGATCTGGGGCTAAACAGCACTGGCCTCTTCTGGGCAACCAAAGAAATGAATGGAATGCCTCAATGGCTGTTGAATTTGTTTTTTAAAAAAGCAGTTGGCTGCTCCCAACAGCGGCTTTTAGAGAACCAACTCCCAATACTAAGTGGGAAATCACTGCCCTTCTGCATGGATCCCTGAGACGGATCCCCACCCGCCCACCCAAACTTCCCTTTCTGAATGGAGATGGAAAACGTTGGGACTTGCTGCTTAAGCTGGATATCTCTCAGAAGAGAACGTTCATCCTTGCATGGAATTGAAAATCAGAAGATGGGGAAACTAAGGGCCAGGCTCACACTTCATGCCATGGTTTGCCCCACTGGATGAATTCATGTAATGCCGCACTTGTGGTTTAATGTGTTGCCTAAACCCTTGTCTGAACTCCACTGGCCTTAAAAATCTTCCAGGGTAAGGAACCATTCTTGCAAGGGATTCCTTATTCAGATGCATCTAACTGAAACCCTTCAGCTATATTGAACTACACTTTCCACCACCTCCATCAAACAAGGTCCCGTTGTCCATACAGTGGTTACCGAGACATCTGCAGCACACAAAACCAGACACGGCTGTGGGCTGTGGGCTGTGGGCCTCCACAGCCCTTCTCCCAGGGACTGCCCTTGCCTATCTGATACCAGCTGACAGGGCCTCTCTTGAACAGATTGTAGGCTCCCCATGGGATGGTGCTGCTGCCAGGCGTCTTGAAGGAACAAGGACTGGAGGCCAGCCATGGCTGCCTAACAAAACAGCATCAAAGGGAACCAACACTGGACTTACTTTCTTCTTCTCGGCCCTGGACTGTGCTCTTCGTTTGCTGGAGGGGGTGGAGAAAAACAAGTGGGAAGGCAGTTAGTGACCGCCCTCTCATCTTTTTCACCCACTCCCATTGAGAGACAAGGACCTTCAAGCCAAGAGAATATTCAGCTTTCTTCCCTGGGGCAGGAAAATCCCCATGCCCGAGTCTATGGAAGCCTGTGGAATCACCCCTCCCTTCTAGTAGCCAGAAGAAGATGAAGCAGGTAAAAAACACGTTGGACTAAGAGCTGATGGGATGCTGGGTGAACACCAACCCTGGTCTTGGCTAAACTCCTTCTGAAAGTGAGATTCACCCAGCAAGACCTTGCAGAGGCTTCTGGATTTTTGAAAAGATCCTTTCCTTTCCTTTCCTTTCCTTTCCTTTCCTTTCCTTTCCTTTCTTTTTCCTTTCCTTTCCTTTCCTTTCCTTTCCTTTCCTTTCCTTTCCTTCCCCTTCCCCTTCCTCTTCCCCTTCCCCTTCCCCTCTCCTTTCCCTCTGCTTGAAGCTTGATAGGGCATTCCTGGGACCCAAGGTCAACTCACTGCAAAGCAAGACCAGCAGAGCGAGCAATCATTTCTCCCAGGCCTTTGGGAAACCTGTTGGCAAGACTCCACTGACCAAAAGAAACAACCAATTTCCTTGACGGCTCATGGAATCTGAGGCATCTCCATGGTTTCTTTTCTCAGGCAGAGATGCTCAAGGACCTGGGAGCCCAGTGGATCCCTTTTGCTCCTTGCTTCCTTAGAGAAGTGGATTCTCTCTCATTAAGTTGCTGCTAAACAACCTTCTAGCTTCTGTCTTGGCCTACACAGGCTAAGCTAGCTGATGGCTCTGGTTGCAATTGTCCCAACTCTGTAACCCGAGGACGTTTCCCTACTTACCTGCCCATCTTGTTTTGCTTTAGTGACAGGCTGGGGCATCACTTTCTCCAGTCCCTGAAGGAAACACTTGAACAGGCTGTTGGGGAGGGAGAAGAGTCTCATTAGAAGGACATCCAACTTCTCCCCAGGGGGCCTTCCTGACAGGAGGCTGTGTGAGGCAGCAGGGCAAGTTCCCAGCTCTTGTCTCCCTCCTTCGCTAAATCACTGGGTGCTTGCTAAGAATTGTGCTCAGGCTCTTGGTCCTCCCAGGGGAGCATAGCTGCTCTTGACTGCTCCTCTGTCTTCTCCTTCCTGGTCAAACCATCCCTGGACTCAGGGAAAAAGCAAAGGCTTTTTACAAATCTATTTTCTCTAGCTCCAAAACTTGTGATCCTTTATGTAAATGTGAAGTGAAAAAATAAATGCATTTTCTTATTTAAAACTGGGTTCTTTCCTCCTTCTTGCTTCTCCTATGTCCTTACCAGAGCTTAACAAATATTTTTCATTTATTCTGTTTTTTCTTCATCATCCGCTTTGTGCCCATGATCAGACTCTGGGAAATGCCAAGGAAATGGGGGATGGGCTGGGCTCTCTTGGTGCAGTCACCAAAAGTTGCTTCTTACCCGCCAGGTACCCCAACCACCGCACTGCAGCCTCACTCCTCCAAACCCCAGTTAAACCAAGGCTGTGACCCACTGAGTATCCACCTGGTCTCTTGGGCCCTTTCTGACTCAGGAGTGTGTGTGTTCTGGAAGGCCCCCCTACCTTTGGGCTCCGTTGCCTCCAGGTCTCTGTGGAAAGAGAGGAAGGCTGAGGTAGGACTGCTTGTCAGAGGTTCCATTCATTGCTCCAGTGGAACTGGGAGGACTGCCTGGGAGAGGGTCACTCTGCGACGTCACTCGACCGCTCCCTTTTAAATCAGCTGAGGATGATTTACACACAGGAGGAATTGAGGCTGGGGCTGTGCTACCACCAAGCCATCAGAATGTTTTGGTGTTAAAATTCCATTGCAAACACTCAGCATGGCTTTCATTGGTTAAAAAGGCAATACACAAAAGACAGTTGTAAAATCAATACAATATCTACTTTAAAAATAAAATATAATTATTTTTTCTAAATAGAAAAAGAAACACCCTTGCCTGACTTTCCTTCTCAAGGAAACCTGCAAGTAGAACTGATTCTAAGGACTAATGTGCAGCTCAAAGGAGGCTTAAGAGACAGAGAAGCTCCGAGGTGCTTGGCACCAAAGAGCTGAGGTGGCACAGTGGTTAGAGTGCAGCATTGCAGGCTACTTCAGCTGACTGCTAGGTGCAGTTCAGCAGATCGAATCTCACCGGCTCAAGGTTGACTCAGCCTTCCATCCTTCTGAGGTGGATAAAATGAGGACCCAGGTTGTTGGGGGCAAGAAGCTGACTCTGTAAAACCGCTTAGAGAGGGTTGTAAAAGAACTACAATGGGGTATGTAAATCTAAGTGCTATTGCTATTGTTAATGAGCTTCCAGGGTCAGGACAGGGCAGATTTTCTCCGTTTTCCCAGACTACCAGGAGTGAGATTTGAGTTTTCAGTTGCAACACCCTCTCTGACTCTGAGACCTCAAATATTTCCTGAGATCAAGGCCAGGTTGCCTGTTGGTGCCATCTTTTCATGATTCTGATTATTCAGGTGCTGGATTCATAGCTCTCTGCTTAGCAGTTGTGAGAAGTGTGAGTTGTCAGGTTCAATGGCCAACAGCAAGAAAGGCTTGTTCCTGACACTATTCAGGGAAGTCCATGGAAAATATATAAAGCCAGGACTCACCCCCATCCCAACCGGGATAAATAAATCAATGTTGTGTCCCATCAGGGTTTAAGGATCATCAAGGCCACCTCCCACCCACCCCTTCAATATCAGAGGGTTAAGCACTCACCTTCAGCAGCTCTTCCTGGGATCCTTTCCTGGTGCAGAAAGAAGAATAAAACGAGCATCCAAATCACAGGGCTGTCTCAGATCCCCCAAGAACCGAAAAAGCCATCATGGCCCCCACACACCTGGGGTCCAAGGGCTCTGAGGAGTGTATAGCAAAGGTGCAACAACTAAACCTCAATTGCTCTGAAATCCATTGATCAGTGACACACATTAAAATGATGCCAGTTATATTCAATGCAGGTTCTTGAGCTTCTTAAGCAGAGAAGTTGCACGAGCTCAAGTTTCTGTGTGATTAGAAAGAGGGAGTGCTGGCCATGGAAATCCAAACAGAACAGGTGTAGGGGTCCTGCTCCCCTCCAAGCCCCACTACAATATACACTTTGGCAACAATTAATTTGTGACCTAGATTGTCCGTGTGTGTAAGTGTGGCTAAAGGACAAGACACACCGCATGGAAAAGCCACTGGGAGCAGGCAGAAGCAGGAGGATGCTTCCTGGTGAAAACTTTCTCCTGATGCTTCAAAGTTTGACTGAACTGGGGTCTTGGCTGGGCTGGAACTCACCGACGTCTGCAAAGCCTTTAAACACCCAGGTGGAGAAATTGCCCCAGCTCAAAAATTCTCATTGCACATTATCATAATCAAGGTTTAGGAACATAGATTTACACAGATATGATTTTCTATCCCTATGGATTTTGCTTGAATGTACCCAAGAGTTCTTGATTTCCTGGCCGGATAAATTAGATGATGCATTTGCCTCCCTTGCACTCACCTCGGTTTTTTTCCTGTTCTCTGGCTGAGGCATTAATTTTTCAAATCCTTCCATCAGCCAAGTAAATACTTTCCCCCCATTGCTGGAAAGATAAAAGAGCCCTGATTAAGAACTGAGGCAGCTCCCCCAGGCGTAGGGACTCAGGGCCTTGGGCTGTAATCAACAAAAGTGATCCAACCCCAGCCCCTCCATCCCTACCCCTACCCCTACCCCGCCTCTGCCCTCTCCTGCAGCTACCACGTTAGACGTGGGTGGGTGGGCTCCAGCCCACCAAAGACTTCCCAGGGGCCCATGGAACTGCATTTGCCTCAGAAATAAGAGCACCGGGTAGGTCTGACTTGGAAGGTTTTTTAATCTAAGCCCAGAGGAAGCTCGGAGCCCGGAGGTGCTTACGTGTTATCTGGGGTGTTGCTGTCACTGCTGGACTGCACTTCAGACTCTTCTTCTGACTCAAGGACCGTAATGGCTGAAAAGGAGAAAAGCGCCTGATGACCCCATGCATGGAAATGAAGCCAAGAGCTCTAGGCCACCTGCTACTTCCAAGAAAGACACGTGGCTGACATTTACCTAATTCCTCCTCTTCTTCATGGAAGCTTTGGATTTCCATCTGAACACAGACAAAAAACAGTCCTTGTTACCACCAGCACCAGGATTCCCGCCAGGAATTAAACCTCCAGAGAGGAATTCAAAGACGGAAACCGGCGTGTCCTGCCTCACCTCTTCTGGAATATCAATGCTGGCCTCCAGGACCTGGGAGCTCTCCGGCAGCTGTGGGATCGTCTTCTGCAGCCTCTGGGAGAGCCAGAAGAGCAGCCCCTGGCCAGCCCTGGGAGGAAGCGGGAGGAAGCTGATGTGGAAGCGCCAAGGACCGGAACAATGGAGCAGGCAAGTGAGGTCATTTGGCCAGAACTGCTCTACAATAACAGGCAAAACTGCGGCTCCATTGGGATTGTGCATCCCAGCCCCCTCAGAATTCCACCCTGGGCCCTTCTGACCTCGGCCCTTCCTGCTAATACTCTGACTTTTTTGCTCTCAGAAGGCAAGACTGGCACAGGCCTCTTCCCCTCTTTGTCCTATAAAACGTATTTCAGCCAGCGAAGTGATCCTTTCTGCACCCAGAGCAGACTGACCCACATTCGACAGCAATCCACACTGTCCCTGCAGGTGGTCCAAGAGGCCTCTGGGGAAAAGAGTGGCCTCCTTTGCCCTGAAAAGGAAGCAGCCGGTACCTTTCCCTCGGCAGCCACAGGTCCATGGTGCCCAGGCCTTCTTCTGGGATGGACGCTATGTGAAGAAAAAGAAAAACTGGTGAATCTTTGGGGTGACAGCAGCTCTTTACTGAGACAGCAGCAGGAAGTCTGGAGGCCTCTTGCGAACCTTTCTCCACACAAAGTGCTGCCTTAGATGAGAAGCCTAATTTTTTAAAAAAAGATGCTGAAATAATATCAGGGTGAAAGGGCATCCTGCCATCCACCAGACATCTTGTGAATAAGTAAATATTGCTCCCAAACTGGGGAGGGGGAGACCCAAAGGAGGGAAAGGAGTATCCCAGGAATCAAGTGTGACTCTTCCCCACTGGGACCGGGCAGAGCACATCCTGCAGGACTGACAGAGGGGCAAGGACTGCCCTGGGATGTTGGGGGCAGCACCTGGCACAGCCTGGGCACAGCCTGGGCACCTGCCCATCAAAGCTTTGATGGGGAGCTGAATTACCTTCTGCTGGATTGCAGCAGTCTCCTTTTGGCAGCTTTAAGAAAAGAATGAATTACATGAAACATCAAGCAGTGGAACATGGAACAGGAGGCCCTGACTCCATCCTTGTCACATTGTTCTGAGTGAATTCTGCAGGGCTTCCTGAGAACATCAGCCCTTGAGGGAGGGAGGCCAATCTGGTCAGCCCTTCAAGGAAACCAAAGTCATACGTGCCAAGACTATTTTTATTATAAGTCACAGTAACAAAACCTTGCAAATCTCCCCCCCCTTATCTTCATAAGAACTAGAGGGGGTCTCATATGAGACATTTTTTCAGTTATGATTCTGGCCCAGACTCACATTTTTTTTAATCTTTTGCTATCTTAGTGCTCTCTCTTCCTCCTGTTCCTCAAGGTTATTCCTTATGTTGACTGCATTTTGTGACTTTTTCGTTACAAAAACAAGCTGAAGCAACAACAAAGGCTGATCCGGGTTCAGGAACAATTGAAGAAAGAGTGGCAGACCCAGGGAGGCCTTTAATGCGCCGACTGGCTTTGAGGACACCCAGTGATGGAGATCCTGATCAGTAGGTCCCATCCAGCTCCGATCTTCATCCAACCTCTTTCCCAGTTCCAAAGCCCCTTTGTGCTAATAAGCAAAGTTGAGGTGTTGGAAGCACCACTGGATTGTCTGCTCTGTTAATGTGTGTGCGTATATGACTCGGTTTCCTTTGGTTGTCCTAAAGTCTGTTGAACTTCAGCTGTTTTCGTTCCTGGGCAGACTGACTGAGGTTCTCTCCACACCAAGTGGGGGCATCTGCTGGCTAACTGTCTCAGAATAAAACGAATAAAGAAAAACAGAGTCTGGCAGTTCTATGCATCGCGGGATCCCAGCAGCTGTTTTGCCATAATGTATGCTGCAGTCTATCCCATTAAGCCCCTATGTGGCGCATTCACTTTAGCAGAGCATGTTAGGTGAATGCTGCCACGCTGCCACAGCCTGTTTAGCCACCAGCAGCCAAGTGGCCAGTGCAACTTTGGACCATGACACAGAATGACCCAAGTGTTATTCCCCCTCTGTGAGCGGTCCCCGAAAGGTTCACTTTTCCTTGGGAAAAATTGGAGAACTGACTGGGTTTTGTGCACCCTCGTCTGGCACTGGCATTCTGTGCAGGTAAGAGAACTAGTAATAATAATAACCTTTCTTGTCACTGCACAACATATGTACAATGAGATTGGTGGAGCTCCCTCAGTGCATACCTCCAACACAATACAACTCACAGTGAAACAGAAAATCCCTAACCAATAAATCGTATTAACAAACACCCAGTCCTATTACACCAGTGTGAACATGTTACACATTGCGCCGGCCCTTCAAGTCCATCATACTACGTAGTTATGATGTTATTTCGCATTCAGGAGTCTGACAGCCCATGGATAAAAACTGTTCTTTAGCCTGTTTGTGCAGCTGGCTATGCTTCTATATCTCCTTCCCAATGGTAGGAGGGTAAAGAAGCCATGACCAGGATGGGAGTCGTCCCAGAGAATTTTCCTCACTCTTCTAAGGCAGCGAGGCCTAGCAATCTCAAGTAGCACAGCACGATGTTTTGTGCTGTGCTACTTCGAGGCAGCCACTCACCTTCTTGGCAAGTTCTGGTCCGTCCACAGCTACACTCTGTTCCACTGGTGCATCTTTCTCTCCCACCACAGAAACATGGATTTTCACAGGAGGCTGGGGTACCACCTTCTCAATCCAGTCGAACATCCTGGCACTGGCAGAAGGCTGAATCAAGGGCAGGGGACAGCGTTGACCCAGGGGAGACTCAGAAAGTGGATGAGTGAGAGAAGCTCCAAGATCAAGACGCGCCTGGAAAAGAAACCCCAGGGGGAGGCATGTTGGAGGAGAGACCAACAGTTGGCTTGGTTCAGAGAGGGCCACCGATGCCAGGCCTTCCTGCATCCCTCTTACAGTCTTCTAGGAGGACAGGGATGGCTTCATGGAATGGTCCAAAAAGTGCAGTGGCCACAGTGATGGATCCATGCTCTGCCATTTTTAATAAATCCACCTGCACTTTTTGGACCAGGACCTGCAGAGGCCCTGTCAAGACACCTGGGCTGCCTTCGTTTAAGTGGCTGACAAGCCCTGCTTCACCCACCAGAGATCATTTGGCTCCAGTTATCTATCCCAGCCTCATTTGGAATCTGCCTACCGTAGTCCTCAAAGTTGCCTCTGGAGGGTTCTTGGAGCCAGTTGGGCCTTTTGCCCCTTAGGCATTGCCACACTGTGGCGAGTGGCTGTCATACTTCTAGGGCAATTACTGTAAAATCATGACATGAGGCTCCGGGTGATGGCAGGAATGGTCCAAGAAATCAAGGGGGCAGCCACAACGCAGCAATTGAAGCTCCACTTGCTTTTTATGCATGGCACCTTCTGGTGAAGCTGCGCACAGATCATTCTGAATTGTCCCCAAAACAGAAAAATGATCTAGAAGATTCCTGATGGCCAGGGAATTGCTGGTCCAGTGAAGCTCAAGTCCCAAGCAGAACCAGCAGATGCAAATACTGCATTCCAGGTCCAGCCAGATCGCCCCAGTTCCTAAAGTGGACGGCTGCAGGCAGTGGCGCAAAGCAATTCCCAGTGAGGAAGTGAGCTTCCCCTCAGGAAAGCTCTTTTGGTTGTGGCTAAGTAATTCAAGTTCTGTGTACAGCCCTGAGAGCCAAGAGCCCATCTGGGAGATGGTTGAGGCTTTGGCAGCAGAAACATTCTGGCCAGGGATGGAAGCCCTCAAGGAAGCGCTTCTGGGTCAACTGCCAGAGGGCGGGGGCTGCTCTCTGGAGCCCATCAGGAGGCAACACCCGTCGATGGAGAACCAACTGCGTTTTGTTCCAGTTTGACCAGCTCCGGTCTAAAATGTTCTGGACTCCTTTTTCCACAACCAAAGATCCAGCCGCAGCTGCCATTTTCATACCCTCCATGCTACCAGTGGCTCTTTCACCAACTGGGGAAAAGGGAGGAGTTGGGTGGCAACAGCAGAACTAAAAGATCCCAAGAGAGGAGATGACAAGAAACCTTGCTTAACATCTGGAAAGAAAGTCTCTGAGAAAAAGGTTCAGAGTTCCTCTGCCATCCATGGCACTGACTGAATAATGGACTCGCCATGGAATCACCGAGAGGCAGATTCCAATCAAAATCTATTCAGCTAAGCCCTTTGATAGCAGAACCAGGTGAGCTTCCATTATTGAATGCATTCAGATAGCAGCTGGAGAGCATTTTCTGGGATGCCTACAGGAGGGGGGTGGGGATTGCAGGAACAGACAGACTGACACATACATGCACAAACCGCACATGCACACTGACAAATGCGGGGGGGGGGATGGGGGGTCAGAAAAACAGGCTCAACTGTTACAATGGCTAAAGACCACCATATCCTCAAGCAAAGAAGCCGCTTCCCATTTGCTTTCCCTGCACAATGATCTGAGGTCCTCTTCAGGTCACCAAAGCATTCCCCCCCAGCTCATCACCTGCACTTGGGGAGCAAGGCCCCAGCCCCCTCCTCTCACTGTAAAAGTGCCATTCCCAGCAACATTTCCCCCTCTTCTCCCCAGGTACAAGGGCTGGCCGGCCCCCTAAAGCTGGCCACTTTGCTCTGGAGGAATCAGCTCTGGGGGCTGCTGATGTTTCAGCAGGTGATGGGGCTGAACCCAGGGGTGGGGGGGGGTGGGCTGCTTGGAAGCTCAAGCTCTCCGCTTCCTGGGAGGGTCGGGGATGAACCCCAGGGACCGGGGAAGGGGCTTCAGGCAGGCTCTGGCTGCTCTGGGAGCGCTTCCTGCCGGGGCCAAACTTACCTGCAGCAAAGCCGAGGGGAGGCGCCTGGCTGCCCCCTTTCCTACCCCAAAGAAAGAGACCAAGTGAGGCAGGTAAGATGGCCGCCTGCCTCCTCCTGATGCTCCTCGAAAGAAGCGAAACAAGTGATCTGGGAAGCCAGCCGGTCAGGGGATCAATTAGCTCAGAACAGAGAGTGCAAATTGGATTAAGGCAGCAGGCTTGGGCTCAAAGCCCAGAGAACTACAATCCCTGACCTCCTCAGCCCCCCCACACACACACACGTGTAGACAACGGCCTTGTGTAGAAGGACACGATCTGCGGGTGAGGGAAGCAGGTCATGCATTGCAAGAAGAAACCCGAGGGCCCTGGGCCCCTGACAGGGAGCCTCCATGCTGCCAGCTAAGGGCAAAGCCCCTTCCCATTACTCTTGGGCCACCTGAATTTGCATTAGCCCTCCCCCCTCCCTCTGTAGGGGAAGCCTGCCGAACCACTCCCAGATAATCCAAGGATTTTGGATGTTGCCTCGGTTGCTAGGCAACGAGGCCTTCTGCACCCTCAGCAAATTGCAGCTGGCTTAGCGCTGCTTCCAACTCAGAGTAAGGCACAACATAAAAACAAGGATGTGCAGTCAATTAGAACCAAAGCAATGCAAAATAATTACAAGATCCAAATAGAGGACATCACAGCCAGGGGAGTCCTATCCGTCCTCTCCAAGACCTACCCGGAAGGCCAGCAGGGAGAGATGGATGCATACCAAATGTATGGTTACATTTGTAGACTTCAAAGTCGGTTGACTTACTTCTTAGCCGTTTATCTGCTAATTGGAAGGGTTGGCCCAGTTATTTAGGCTCCGGATTGTCCCTGTGGAAACTACAAATGCAATTATTAAATTATAAACAAATCAGGTATGAAATTGCCCCTCTGAAGGTCCATGTTTGTGATGGATCTCTGGAATTAGTATTTGATATTGCTGAGCCAGTTGGCTTATCTTTCTGAAAAGTACATGGCACCAGTATTAGTTGCCTAGATTACATTGGAATATCCAGCTTGTGTTGTTGCCTAGAAATTCAGAAGGAGCCGATGGTATGCCAAAAATTTCAGAGAAATGCCACCTTTACGTTTGCAAATAAGTTTTTTTTCTCACCTAAAAATACAAACCACCAAGAAATTCAGGCAAAGTAAGGAATATTTATGGGGAAGGAGGGTAGATTATACAGGGTATAATATATAACATACACAGTTTTTATATAGGGTACAGTAACAAAAATACATACATTTAATATATATGATGCATTAGAAAGCAACAAATCAAATAATAAAATACATTAAACCTGAGAATTAAACAATAGAAAATGTTGACTCTAGATAACATTCCACAAGTGGCAAATTTATGATTACGTTACCCATTCTCAGTTGAGTTTATATTTTGCATGTGTATGCCAGGCCTTCCAGGAGATGCTGCCTATTGTGTTAATTGCTGAAAAGGCTAGATGTTATGTATTAAAAAACAAGAAATGCCTTTGGCTAAACAGAAATTACGTTTCCTGAACTTCAAAAGGAAGCATGGCGGTCATACTAAAATGCTAACATCACCATTATTAAAAAGCTAATAAGACTTTAACTCTATTTTTAATATATTTACCATTTCAAAGTATGCTTAATATTTGAGCCTTCTTTTGTATTAGTTTTATTGCTTTTTTAAAATTATTATGGTTTGTCATAGTCAGCCAGAAATTTAGACTGGATTTGGCATTTTTATCCACCTATCGAGTCCTTCCCAAGGGCCCGAAAAAGGAAGAGGTAGATGTTTGATGGTGTCAGAGGTATCGTCACAGGATTTGAGCTGTTCTGAGTAAAGCCGCCTTTTGCAATTCACTGATGGTGAATTTGTCAATGCCGAAGGTGTTCAAATTGTGCTCCAGTTGTTTTGGGATTGCACCCAAGGCTCCTATGATTACTGGTCATTACCAAAGTCATTCCATTTCAATTTGCAGATCTTTCTACTATGTTATCTTCTCCAGATATCCTTCTCTTGTGCTCTCTCCAGATATTGCCAAATCCACTATCCAGACTTTTTTGTCTTTCTTATCAACAATTGTTAAGTCTGGCATGTTTTGTGACAGGTACCCATCTGTTTGAACTCTGTTTGAAGTCCCAGTGCACTTTAACTTCTTCATTTTCTATTACTTTCTCTATTTTATGGTCCCACTAGTTCTTGCTTGGCAGGCAAATGATATTTCTTGCAGATCTTCCAGTGCAGCATTGTTGCTACTTTATCATGCCCTTGTTTGTAGTCAGTCTGTGTGATCTTCTTGCAGCGGCTAATTAAGGTAGGTGGTCCAGTGTTTTCTTCATCTTCCTTGCAGAGGTGGCACTTGTTGTCTGTTGCTGTCTTCTCAATTCTGACTTTGTATGCATTTGTTCTTAAGGCTTGATCTTGTGTCATTTCTTCTTATTTAATTTATATTCCACCTTTATTATTTTCACAGATAACTCAAGATGAAGAACATATCCAACACACTTTCCTCCTCCTATTTTCCTCATAACAACAATCCCTTGTGTTTGGTTGACTGAGAGAGAGGGACTGGCCCAAAGTCATCCAGCTTTCATGGCTAAGGTGGGACTAGAACTCACGGTTTCCCGCTTTCCAGCCTGTTGCCTTAACCCCTACTAGATTAAACTAGAATAATATAGACCAATCATTGTTTAGCCACCCAAAGTCCCTTCCCATGGATACCCTGTCTTCATGTTCCTTATTTCCAGAACTTCACTTTCTTTTTTTCCTTTTAATTGCTTATAGTTGTTATAAACAACACAATTTGGAAACTTTGGAAAACATCTGAATGTGACAGTTGAATGCTGTGGGGGGTGGAAATGCTTAGTTCAATTTCCTGTGAGCCCTAGGGAGGGGCTCAGGGGCCTGAAGTGACCAGGCTGGGGTTGCCTAGTGACCTGGCCTCTTGACCAACAATTCTCGGCTCCCTGAGGTTGCTATGGAGAGTGAATGAGCAGGGCCCAGAAGGTAGACCTGGCACCCAGCATGTGAGGCCTTGAGGGACACCACAGGACTCTCCTTCTTCCCCACAAGTTGGGCCCACACTTGGAGAGGAGCTTGAGTAGCATTGCCACCCCAAGGCATCGGGGCCTCCGGAGCACCCCTCTGCTTCTTTTTAACTGTCTGGCCTGCCTGGTCCTTCCTGCCTGCCTTTACGCTGTGCAGTGACTGTCAAAAGATTTGGGTAAGCAGCTTCCCTACCAATGGAAAAAGGAAGACTGGGGAAGAGAAGGATAATTCTAAATGTCTAATAATAGTAACAATATATTGGAAGCAATTCTCTAAACATTATAGCATTATTATTATTATTATTATTATTATTATTATTATTATTTAATCTTTAGTGAGATTCACAGCCTTTGAGGCTGGTTAATAGCTCAGCAGCTTGAATCCTAACCAAGGACCTAGGAACTGTTAAGGTATCGTCGGAGGATGTAAGCTGTTCTGAATAAGGTTGTTGTTGTTGTTGTTGTTGTTGTTGTTGTTGTTGTTGTAATTATTATTATTATTATTATTATTATTATGGTTGCTCACAAACTCAGTCATACATTTAAATTGTATTTGTCAAGGACCTGGGATAGGCAGCTGTTCCAAATAAAGCTGCCTTTTGCAATTGACTGATGGTGAATTTGTCAATGTAACTTCAGTTGTTTTGGGATTGCACTCAGGGCATCTATCACTATTGCTATTGCCTTTGCTTTCTTTTGCCACAGTCATTTTAATTCTATTTGCAGGACTTTGTAGTTTGTGATTTTCTCCAGTTCTTTCTATTCTGCCCAGGCACTGCTGTGTATCCAGACTTTTTTGTCTTTCTTATCAACAGTTGTTAAATCTGGGATGTTACGTGATAGGTGGTTGTCTCTTTGAATTCTAAAGCTCGCAACAATGTGAAGTCACAGCTGCCAGTCCTTTAGTTAGCATTGGCCTTCCTATGCATCAGGTTATTACCAAGAACCCTAGGATGTCATAATGTATCAGCATAGTATATGTATGGATCCAAGCAGTATGGCCTTTTACCTGTCAGTTGCATATTTTGTCAAGGTGCATACTGTCCAGGTGCCAGGTCTATGATTTTCTGGTATGGCACCTAATGTGCCGATAACCACTGGGACCACCACAGCTAGTTTATCCCAGAAACTTTCAATTTAAATTTTCAGATCTTTTAACAGTCTGTATCCAGAAATCCTACAATATTCTAACCTGCTCATTTTTGACCACTTTTTCAATTCGATTTTCTTACTATGGCACGTGGTAATTTTTAACAGATGTTCCAGTGAATCATTTTGGCAATATGGGTTATGTTGTTGTTTATAATCAGTCTGTGCAATTTATTGCATGAGATAAGTATGTGAGCTACTGTTTCTTCTGCCTCTGCACAGTTTGTACTTTGAAGCAACAATTTTTCAATTCTGGCTTTGATTGCATTAGTTCAAATAGCTTACTCTTGAGCAGCCAAAATCAAGTTTTTAGATTCCTTTTTTAATGTTCCAGTTGTAAATCATTGCCAGGTTGAACCATTTTCTCCTCCACTGTTTGCAGAAATTGGCCATGTACTGTAATGCTTTTCCTTGCCACCATTCTGTTCATGTTTGTATTACATTATTTCAATGTTCAGGTGTTTCTTGGACATTCTGCAAGTTCCAATTTTAAACTTGGATCCCTGTTATCCTTGGCTGTCTTTTATGGAATCCGCCAATGCCTGCCTTTCATCTTTGACAATTTATATGACTTGAAGTAAACCTCTGCCTCCATTTCTGCAGGGCATCCATCAATATCGCTAAAGGGATGTAATGCATAATGAATAGTTGATCAGTTTTCTAGTTTTTTGGTTCAAACTGCCCAGTTAATAATTGCTGCAGTGTATTGTATCACAGGAATAGGCCAAGTACTGATGCCTTTGATGGTTATTGTGATGTCGAGAGACCCTGGAATGTGTGCAAAGAGCAACTAAAATGATAAGGTTTCTGTATGGTGAAGGGAGCTAGGCATGTCTAGCCTATCAAAGAGGATTAGTGGAGACATGAAAACTGTCTTCTAATACTTGAGGGGTAGTCACAGAGATTGACTTAATCTCCAAAGCACCAAAAAGCTGGACAGGAAGCAATGGGTGGGAGTTTCTTCCAATCTAGAAGTTAGTTGAAATTTTCTGACACTGAGAACAATTAATCAATGGCATTGCTTGCCTCCCAGAGTTGTGGGTGCTCCATCACTGGAGGTTTTCAAAAATAGACTGGACAATCATTTGACCGAGATAGTAGAAGGCTCCTGCCTTGAGTGGAGGGTAGGACCAGAAGATCTTCACATCCCTAGCAGCCTTATGATTCTAATCAGCATATATTTGCAAATTATTATTTTCAGCCTTTGAGTGTCATGGCCATGACTGAAAAAGAAAAAAAAAGCAGAGCCAGGACAAACCCCAAATCTGATATGAATCAAGTAATGAAATGCAGTTAATACTTTATATTTCATAATATCCCCTTTTGTCAGGCCAACACAGCAATTGTATGAAATGCTCAAATGTTGCAAGTCAAAGCTTGGGGGGGGTCATAAATGATCCCCCAGATGCTCAGCCAGATGGAGATGCTCCAAAAACCTCTGTGGGCAAAGGTGTTGAAGAGCCCCAAAGCTGCCCTACCAATTGAGCACCTCCAGAGTGGAGAGTTTTTCTCAGGGATGACCAAGTCTGGTGTTTCTATAGGGCTAGCTTTATTGGTTTTTAATTGCCCTTCCATTACTATTTTATTCTGTTGTACATGTTGTTATTGAGAGAGAGAGAGGGAGAGAGAGACAGACAGATAGAGACAGAGACATAACTTTGAATAATTTGTAAACTGTTTGTGATGCCTGTGCCTTGAATCAGTATTGACTTTTGTCGACTACTTCAGCAAGTCCCTGTAGTTTCCCTGGCAAGGTTTTTTGGAAGGGCCTCCTTCTTGGGGCTGAGAGAAAGTGACTGGCCCAAGGCCACCCAGTTAGCTTTGTGCCCAAGGCAGGAGTAAAACTCCTGGCCTGCTGGTTTCTAGTCTGATGCCTTGACCCCTGCACCAAACTGGCTCTGAAAACTTAATTCCTTCCCCATAGAATCTAAATGGCTCCATCACCTTCCCTGACTAGCTTCCTCCAGATATCTGGGGACAGTGAATCCCAGAGAGCCAAGCCAGCTGCTGGGGCGAGGCTCAGTTGAGGGAAGATGGCTCTCTCTTCCTTCAGGGTACCCAGTGGCAACATTTGGTGAGTGACACCAAGGGTGGGTTTCACTTACCTTTGCTACTGGTTCACTCGTGCATGCACCAGACTGTATTTGATGACGTCCGGGCGGAGCCTCCTGCCGCTGCCACTACCTGTTCACCTGAACCAGGGCAAACCGGTAGCAACCTACCACTAGGTGACACTTTGTGGGATGCTCTGCAGCTTCATTCTAACTAGTTGTTGCCAGCCCAGGGTGAACATGAGTAGAATAGAATAGAATAGAATAGAATAGAATAGAATAGAATAGAATAGAATAGAATAGAATAGAATAGAATAGAATAGAATAGAATTCTTTATTGGCCAAGTGTGATTGGACACACAAGGAATTTGTCTTTTGTGCACATGCTCTCAGTGTACATAAAAAGACAAGATACTTTCGTCAAGAATCATAAGGTACGAGAATGGCATTTGCTCAACTGTGGAAAGATGCAGACACGCCCCCTGACCATCTGATAATAAACAAGATTCTCCGATGTGCTAAGATGGACAGGCTAACGTATATCTTAAAAGACAAGAAAGATTCAGTATATAACAGAAGTTGGGAGAGATGTTTGGTTTGGCTCAAAAGAAGATTAAATTTAGGAGAAGGGTGATAAGATCGTCTAATTAGATTAACTAGATATTTACTAGGCTTTATAACTCTTTATAATTTTGATAAAACAGACCAATTGTTTTGTAAGTTAGTAAAAAGAACTTGATTGCATTGAAGTGTTTGGCTAGGACGGTATTAGTTAATATTAATTGGAGAGTGAGCTTAACTCTTGGTTAGTCTTGCTTGTTGTTTGGTTTTAGTCCTGTGTTTAGGTGTTTCTATGTTTCGCTTCCTATATTGCTTTTCAACCATTATTGTGAGTTAATTTTATTGTAAATATTTAATAAAGATTATTTTTAAAAAAAGAATCATAAGGTACAACATTTAATAATAGTCATAAGGTACAAATAAGCTATCAAATCATACTAGGAAACAATATCAATATAAATTGTAAGGATACAAGCAACAAAGTTACAGTCATACAGTCCTAAGTGGGAGGAGATGGGTGGTGGGAACGATGAGAAGTAATAGTAATGCAGCCTTGGTGAATAGTTTGACAGTGTTGAGGGAATTATTTTTTTAGCAGAGTGGTGGCTTTTGGAAAAAACTGTTCTTGTGTCTAGTTGTTTTGGTGTGCAGTGCTCTATAACTGTCATTTTGAGGGTAGGAGTTGAAACCATTTATGTCCAGGATGTGAGGGGTCTGTAAATATTTTCACAGCCCTCTTTTTGACTTGTGCTGTATACAGGTCCTCAACGGAAGGCAAGTTGGTAGTAATTGGCTGTAGTTTCCTTTCAAACCTGCAGTAAAACACATTCAGGTCATCTGCCAGTTGTTGATTTCCTTCAGCCTGGGAAGGAGGTTTGCCATAACCAGTGATACTTTTAAGAGTTTTCTACATATTTGCTGTTATGCAGATGCACCAGGAATTATCAGGAAACTTGCACTGTGACAGCCTTGCTGGAGGAGGCCAGGTTTTCCAATGAAGCTCCACTCTGTCTTATCCCAGAGAAATTTCCTTTCTCTACAACAACCTATAGATGGAATAACAAGCGTGTCCTTTCTAGAGTGAATAGTTGCCTCAGTTGATGATGATCACGATGAAGAAGAAGAATTGGGCCATGAGCTGTTTGATAATGGATGGGGCTACCTGGGACAGTCTCTCCTTGTTTTGTAAGCAGGCTCGAATGGAGTCCTGAGTTCTTGCCTTGCCTAGATGGATTCTGAAGTAGGAGACCTATTAGAGCACTTTCATTTGGGTTTCTGTTATATCTGAACTGGTCATAAAGCCACTACTGTGTTGTATATCTCAGAGCAGAAAATGTAGAACCTCAAGAAATAAAGAGTTCAAATTTGGAGGTTGTTGTAGAGAAAGGAAATTTTCTTAGTGGAAGACTATTAATAGTCTTAATGTTATCTTCTCCAGGCCAAACCATAGTTAAGTATGATGGACAAATGTGTCCCTCTGTGTCTCATTTGGTACAAAATTCTCCTGTTCCCAGCTAGAGAACTTTGAAAGTTTTGATCGGCTGTAACCCTTAAATTAGGATCAGCTCAAGCCAGTCAGAAACAAACTATAGTTATGGCTTATTTATGATCTCTGGTGCACAGCAGAAGGGAGGGGAAAGAGAAGCTGAGGCTCTTGTCTTGGTTTATGTGGCTATCTTAAATCATGGCTTAGCATTATCTCTGAAGGCACCTTGAGCACTAGTAGCTTTTTCACCTGATACTCCCCAGACATGAGAGTGATTCTCAGCTAACGAAGCCAACAGCCATGGGAGTTCCAGCATGTCTTGGTGGCCAGAGTAACAGTAATGCTATTACTATTAGTCTTGGTGGCTGGAGCTGCAGTGAACCCCTGGTCTCCCGAGTCACATGATGGTCCTGGCCCTGTGTTACGTGCTACAGGAGCAGAGGGCATTCTGTCCTCAGCCATCTGCCTATCTTCACAGGCAGAAGGTCCTTTAGAACTCTTCTGTGACATTGGGAGAATGTGGATCTTCCCACGCAACTTCAATATCAATTTGGTGTTGGATATTAGAACTGACATCAGCTTAAACTGATTAGGACCGGATGCAGTGACTAAAAGCAGAGTAGTGTCTACTGCATATTCCCAACCCACCAACTATTCCAGGTCATGGACCAGCTAAATGGTGCAGGCAACCTTGATTACCACTTGATATACCTGTACAAAACCTCCCCAGGGTGCAAAAAAACAAATTACTACTCCTTGTAACCTTTTCCCCAGTGCAGCAGTAGCTGCTCTTCCTCCTCTTTCTCCCAGCGCTATTACACTGATATAAGGAGGGAGAGGTCAGAGCAGCCAACTGAGAATTGCCAGCTAGAGCTCAGTGTGTTCACAGCAAGAAACAGTCTTCCACAACCTGCTAAAGTTGCAGGGAGTGAGGACTGGCGCCTTGCCAGGCTGATGAGAGCTGCTACGGGGACAGCATCCTGCCTTCCCTGGAGGAACAACATTCCCAGCTCTGTCAGGGAAGCTGGGGAAGTGGAGTGGGCCACTGGGCCTGGCTGAGGTTCCAGAGAATGGGGCTGCTTCGGCAAGGATAATGTTCCTTGGTCTTCCTAAGCGATGTGGCAGTCAAGTGGAGAAGGAATGGCCTGACGGACATCGGAAACGTAACTCTTCTCTCCTCTTTTTTGGGCTGGCCAAAAGAGCTCTTTTGGCTGGCTCTTTTGCAGCAATGGCCCAAACTCTGGACTTGATCCCCTGGCCCCCAGATGCCAGCCCCATCTATGCAGCACCCGCAGTTCTCATTCCGCTGGAGCCCAGGAAGACCATGTTAGCTGGAGTGAAGGAGCACCTCTACCACCCCTGCCTGCCAACGCTGAGGCGCATGGACATGGACACCGTGGCCAACAGGCTCACTGACCAGCACTCCAGGACCAGCACCACCTGCTCCAAAGGTAGCAGCCCGGCCGAACGGTCTGGGAGCAGAACCGGGGCAGGAATGCAGCCCCCTTAGTTCCTCCTCGTTGTGCAATGCAACGGGAACCCTAGCAATGGGGGCCGGGCGTTCCAAGAGCCCAGGCGGAACTTGGCCTCTTGCTCCAGCACATCAACTAGGCGGCTCCCCAGATGTTCTGATGTGACCTGCTTCTGAGGGGGGAGGGGTAAATCGTAAAAGTTTAGTTTGTGTCCCCCTCCTCTGTGTTTTTTTTGGGGGGGGATTTCTTCTCTAAATCTGCCGGGCCGAAAAGGGCCCCTCCTGGGACGCGGCCGGTGTTCTGTAGAGCTTCCCAGCGCCCGAACCCGCCACGTCTCTGCTCCGTGTGTTCTGCAGAGGATTTCCAAGGGGCGACCTTCACCGTGGCCGGAGTGCCCAGCAGGCCCGTCCCTTCCCTGGTGAGTCACTGCCCGGCGGGTCGGGGGTCCCTTCCGGGGCTGCGCGGTCCCGGCCGGCAGTTCAGTCGGTCTCTCGGAACGGTCGAGCGACCGACGGGCCCGGGGGATCCGACGGCCCCTGCGAGGAGTTCTGGGGACGCCGCTGCCCCGCCTGGCTTTTCGGTTTTCATCCCTCCGCCTGGCCGGCCGCTCGGGATCGCTTCGGCCCTCCCGGCGCGCTTTTCCCGGGGCAGCCCACCAGCCCGAGGCCGCCCCCTGCCGGAGGGCCGGAGGGGGCGGGCGGAGCGCCGAGGGCCCCGCGAGCGCCGCTGCAGCCGCCCCGCTTCCCCCCTCTGGCCAGGGCATGTCGGAGCTGCGGCAGTCGCTGGCCGGCCGTTACCGCGCGGGGAAGCTGGCGCCGCTGCCGCCCAGCACCAACCAGGAGGAGTGGCCCGGCTACACGCGCGCCATGCAGGACTGGTCCCGCTTCGTCTCCGCCGCCGGCGAGTTGGCGCTGCCCAGCCACCGCGGCAAAGGTAGGGCGCCCTTCGCCCCGGGGAGGCTCGGCTGAGCTTCCCGGGACCTTCCGCCGCGGTCGGTCCGCGCTGGGCTCCGGGGCGCCAAGGGGTGTCCGCCGTCCGACGCTCTTTCCCGGGCAGGAGATGCGGGAACACGCCGGGAGGCTCGCCCCCGCCCCTCTGGGGGCTCAAGGGGGGACGCCGCCTTTGGGGGCAGATGGAAGAACCGGCCTCAAAGGGGCCCTTTGCCTCCTCCTCCTCCTCCTGCCCCCCCCCCGACTGCTTCTCTCCTGCCCCACTACTGGGACCCCCCGACTCTTCTCCTTCAGTAGCGGCAGGGCAAGGGTGGCTGGTGCGGAGGGGCCCCTAGCAGCTGTCCAAGCCAGGCCCAGCTCTTGAGTAATGGGCACCTGGCAGAGAGAGGCCCTGCTGAGCCAGGGGAGAGCACAGCTGGGCTGAGCCCAGGTTCCCCCACCAAGTGGGGCCTTTCCAGCTACTTGCCTGAGTCAGATGTTACCTAGTTTGAAATGTCTGCAAGAAAACAACCAAGCTCAGAGAGTACCAGGGACTCCTCATTTCAACCCTGACCTACAATATTCTCCTTATATTGGTCTTTTTCCTTTCCTTTTTTTTTTCCACTCCTCTCCTGTCCTCTTTTCATCTTTCTCAGTTCTTGGCTTCAGCTGTTATGCCGTCAGATACTTAAAACCAGACGTCACTCAAACCTGGAGGGTAAGCAAGAAGGCAGTCTTGTTGGGGGGGGTGCTCAAAAGACCCTTTTTAAAGAGCAAAGGGCACCTCTGCCAGGAGAATCCAACTTGATTGCAATTAAGGCGTTATCACAAGGTGGTTTGGGGGAACTCTGGAAAAAGGAGTTTTGGTTTTCAATCCAACTATTGGATCCTCAACTCCTTAAGAACGGTGGTGATAGCAGTGCAATTATTTCCTCTAGTCTCAGTTTGTTTTGTTGGCCAGGAAAGAGCTTTTTTAGCCAAAGAATTGCCAAGACCACAACTTGGCAGGCTTTGGAGGCAAACAAAAGGGTTATTTTTTAATGAAAACACAGACACACACCTGCCCAAGAACAGCTGGGTCCTTGGTTCTCAGCACAATTTGCACCATGTCCTAAGCGAAACCGAAACCATGTCAATGATGGTTAAATTCCTTCTGAGTCTGTTGCAACGTCCAGGTGCTCCAGCGTGTCCAGAATCTCAGAGAAACTCCAGGATCTCACAGCTGAAAAGGCTCCCTGTTGTTTGACAAGGGAGTGGCCCAAGTCCTAACCTGAGGCTGATGGCCAAACTCGCCTGCTCAGCTGCCCTGCAAGACCCCCACACACAGGAGAGCCCTACAACTGCCCCCCCTTGCAACAGATGAAGAGCAAGTGCAAGGGGGGCCTGGGCCCCTGCCTGACAGCAGGAAGAGGTGGGGGCTTCACAGAAAGGGGGAGGGTGGAGAAGCATGGACGTCCTTAGTTTTAACATAAGGCATCTTCTTCCGTTTTTTTCATGCCAGTATTGCCTCAATCAGAATCCCAGCCTGGATCGATACGGACCAAAGCCTCTTCCTTACAACACAGTGTAGGTATCGCCCCTGCACTGCCCCTTGCCTGGGGCTCATCACCCTGCCCCCCCTTGTGACTTCCCAGCAACTCACGTGATGTTCTGCTCTTTGGCTACAGGAACACCTACAGGAGCTTTGGAACTGCCCACAGGTACCTGACTCTTCGAGGGAACCAAAAGTAGCATGGGGGGGGGTGAGGCCTCTGCTCTCTTCGCAGCCCCAGGTGGAATTGGCTCTTAGAGGAGGGAGGTGGCTGGAGAGTTGCAAGAATTTTGTTAGCTGAGGGCAAAACTATTTGCAATGTGAAACTGGATAGGATCACACTATATGGGATGAGGTAGCAATTTTGCAAACGGCTCTTTTGAAGATGCTAGAGTAGAAGGTCCAGCAGGCTGGAAGAGACCTTGGAGGTCTTCTAATCCAACCCCCTGCTCAAGCAGGAGAACCTATACCATTTCAGACAAATGACTGTCCAGTCTCTTCTTAAAACCTCCAGTGATGGAGCACCCACAACGTCTGACGGCAAGAGAGTCCAAGAAATGTCAGGGTTGCAGGCTAGGCTGCTGTGGAGAAATCTCGTCTTCCAGGCCATTCAAACAAATATGCCATCCCCAGGAGGCTGGCTGCCGGGGAGAATCTCAGAGTCGATGGTTCCCACATGGAGAAGCTCCTGCTCCCCAGTCATTCCTCTCTCAGACTCGGGCAAATCTCTTCTGCAGTGATCCCAGAGTAACCAATGCCATCTCCAGCCTGGGGAGGGATCCATGGGGAAGATCCTCAAGGAGCCCTAGCAGATGTGGAGCAAACATGTGTCCTTCTTCCTTTCAGCCGCTCTCACTATCTGGAGCCCTGGCGCTAAGGAGCCGGTCCATAAAGAGGCCTGAGGCCTGGGATGAGCCTTTGCCCAGCTTTTGAACATCCAGAAACAATAAAAGCTACTAGCTGCCTCAAGAGGAGACGTGGCCGAGGAAGGCATCTCCCAGGCAGGCAAATCATGTTTTCGGCCTTGTGCTTTAAGTTTCAAGGAGGCAGACAAAGAGGAAAGGCCTCCGGGTCGTTTCTCCAGGCTCCCCTGCCCCCCCAGGTGTGATGAGAAGAAGCATCCCCAGAATCAAAGCACCTCTTGAAACAAGCTAGGATCTGACCAACCTATAAAGGCCGGCATCTTTCTTTCACCTCATGGAAAATTGGGGACCGAGAAGTCCTTGTTCTCATCTGGAGCTCAGCTGGTTTGGCTTTTCTGCCCCAAAGCCAAACCAGCTGTGTGCGTTAAAGGGGTGTGTGTGTGCGCATGCATGCGTGCGTCCATCCAAGGCCCAAAGACGGCTCTCCAGAGTGACCCAGGAATGGGAACCTGCTCAGCAGATGCAGACCCAGTGAAAATGGTGAGGCCATTGGCTGCATCCAAGCAAGACCCTCAACAGTTTACAGGTGGTCCTTATCTTACAAGCATTCATTTAGTGACTGTTCAAAGATATGACGGCACTGAAAATAGTTGCTCATGACTGGTCCTTGCACTTACAACCGTTGCAGCCTCCCCACGGCCACGTGATCAAAATCCAGCCACTTGGCAACTAGCATGTATTTATGATGACTGCAGCATTCTGGGGTTATGTGATGACTATCTGTGACCCTCCCAACTGGCTTTTGACAAGCCAGGTCAAAAGCGGAATTCACTTAATAACCTCATGATCCACTTAACAACTGCAATGTTTCACTTAGCAATGCTAGCAAAAAAGGTTAAATTGGGTGCAACTCATTTAACAGTCACCTCGCTTAGCAACAGAGATTCTGGTCCCAATTGGGTCGTAAGTCAAGAACTGCCTGTACTCAGAAGTGGTGAACCTTGAGTCCATCTGCAACTAAAGACCGATAAGCTACAGTTCTAACCATCCATTTCTAGATGGGTGCAAAACGGGTTGTTCCAGGTACTTTCCCAATAGATTCACCAGTTTTTTGCTTTTGAAGGTACCTGCTACTTTCCAGCCCAGGAGCCAACGGAAATTGATGGAAAGAGACGCTGACCGACTGAAGCATATCAGGGCTTCTGCCCATCCCAGAAGTGGAGGGGGGCAAGATCAAGAAACTGCCTAGGAAGCCTGCCCAAGTTTCTCCCTGCCCCATCTTACAATAAGCTAAGCCAAGATAGGGTTAGTTTGAGTTTCTTTCTCACAAGTGACCAATTTTTTCCTTCCTGTCCCCAGGTCAGAGTCAGACATACATTCCTTCGCACCAACACTCTTTCCCCCACTCACCACTCTCCTGGCTACCTTTCTTGGCCTGTGGGAAGAAGGGGGAAGTCTTCAGTTGTTAGTGCCCCACCCCATAGTCATAAAAGATCCGAGAAGGGACAGCACAGGGTGGGGAGGAGCCAGGCTCTCCCCCAGCCCAAAAGGAAATGGCCCTAAATATCAAGGCTCAGGGCAGTGCCACCCAAGCCTTGGCTGATCAAAAGGATAGCCCCAGTGGTGAAATCCCCATTTTTTTTACTACCGGTTCTGTGGGCCTGGCTTGGTGGGCGTGGCAGGGGAAGGATACTGCAAAATCCCCATTCTGACCCTACTCTGGGGCCAGCCAGAGGTGGTATTTGCCAGTTCTCCAAACTGCTAAAAATTTCCACTGCCAGTTCTCCAGAACCTGCTGGATTTCACCCCTGGATAGCCCTCCTGCTTGGCATGGCTTGTACCAACTGAAGGAGAGAACCCCATCTCTGGAGGGGAGCAAGGAAAGGCAGCGGAGGATACCAAGCATCCATGTTCTTGCCAGATGGTCAGGTATCCACATTCCAGGGCAAGCAGCAGGTGCAAATGAATGTCGGTTTCCACATAACCCAGTTTAGTCTGTTTTGCAATGAGCCGCCTCTGGAGAGTAATTCCCAGCATGAGTATTTTTGCAGTTGGTATCTGTGGCTGCTGACCATGTTGGTAGAGCTGGCAGTGCCATATCTGGAGGGCAACATCACTCTTACATTTGAGAACCAGAACAAGCCAGGGCAGAGCAACTCCACCCCTGAACCAAAACTTTCAGCAAGGCTCAAAGGATGGTGTGCAGCCCTTTGCCTCATCCGGGCATTTCCTCTGTCCTGCAGGTGCCCTAAACAAAGCTGTTTTCTCCAAAGCAGCAGCTCTTTTGGCTCCTCCCGGCTGTGCCAATGCCAGCTGCTCTCAAAGCCTCACGTGACAGTTTTAACCAACAACCAGGATATGAAGGTGCTGTTGGCCTCACCAGTCAGCCCCCACCTCCCTCTGCACTTGAGGCTCTTGTCTCAGTATCCCCACACAACCTGCCCGATTTCTCCGATGTGTCTTGTTAGAATTCTGGCAGAAATTGGTCCACCCTTGAATGCGTCCATTGTTGTAGGAAAGTTGGTGTAATCTCGACTGTCCACCCCGGCAGTATTACCATTCAAGAGTCCTTGGGTTGACTGGGCTTCCAACAACCCATTAGGAGTCAGCAGCTGACATTCAATAATGGGGCAATTGTTGTGCCCACATCCCTGGGGCAAGGCAGATCCTGGGGAGAGCCACTAATGGTTAGATGGCTTCCTGCAGAAGAGTAGCGTTTCAGGCACTGACTTTGTATTTCAAATTGTTTTAAGTGTGTCATCTAAGGTAACGGGGGTCTACCAGATTTTTGATATTCTATTCCTGGTTTGTTTCTTGATTGCACAAATATCCACCTGAGGCTGCTATGCATAATCCAACCTAGGAATTGTATTGATAGACATACTGCCTCTATCTGGCCTAGAACAAGCACCATTTCAGGTACTGCCGGAACACCAAGCCTCTGTGTCTGCATTAATGGCATAGGTGCCTTCTGCAAGCAACCAAATGTTGGTCTTGGCATCAGTATGGGACAAGCCCCCTCCCATGTGAGACACATTCTTACCCCCCAACTGTGAAAATGAGAAAAGGGTGGGGGGAGAAACAGATGTGCTGCCTGAACTCTTTAAGGGATCAATAGAATTAAAATCCAGAAAAGAGACCTTTCTTGTTGACAGAAGCCTCCTTGCTCTGCAACAACTGTGTTATTAAATGTATGCTGTTCTTGAGATGCTGCTTTCAAAAGTGCTGGCATTTTGCCCATCCTATTCCCCATTCTGGTGCTTAACATTTGCACTGAACTTGTCCACAGGAGCCCAGCCTAGCCTATGCATACAATTTTGGGCAAATTCAGTTTCTCACACCTGACCTAAAGGATGTTGCTACAGATAAATTGAATGAGGGAGTTCTGAGCTCTTGGCAAAAGAGCATTTTTTAAAAATTGAATATATTGGGAAATCTGCCCTGGATACAGTACAAATGTATTTCCCTTCCAAATTCTGTCTAGAACCCAGCAAGGAATATTTTAACAATAGAAAAGCAAAGCACCAAGAACTTTGTTTTGTATCTGGACATGGAACCCAGTTGTACAAAGGAGCCTGTCATTCGGCAGTGTTTAACACCTCATGTTTTAATTTTTATATTCTTGGTTGAAACTACTTTTAATTGATTTAAATTTTGTTCATCATTCGCTCACTTGAGATGGGCAGCCATGGAAAATAAATCTAAGCAAGCAAAATTCATTTTTATGGGATGATTTGTTACCTCCATGTTTATAGTAAGGAGTTGAACTGAGAAATCTCTTTCTTGGTGATTCCTGTGTTCTCAAAAGGAAAATGCCCCTCCCAGCCATAGTCACAGTCCCCTGGCAAAGGACAGGGTACAAACTCTTCCCCCAAAGCTGCAGGAATGTCGCCCTTTCTCCTCCATAAATGGTGCTGGGATTCTGCACTGGAGGGCAACAACAGGGGAGAACCTGTCTCTGTGCCCCAGATGGAAGGCCAAGCCAAGGGCATTTGGCTGACCACAAAAACCCGTTTGCTAGGCACATGACGGAGGGTTAGCCTTAAATTCTGTTGAGTGGAAGGCTGTGGATTGTTTCCCATCAAAACTCCATTCTGTAACATGTAATTTTGGGGTAATTTTCATTGGATGTTCTGTGGTTCGCTGTACACCACTTCAGCGTTAGGAGCTCCTGGTTGTTCCTCTGCTTAAATCCTTGGTTCAGACCTCTCAGTGTGCACACACATACACACACACACACGTGTGTTTTTGTAGGTATAGGTATGCAAGTCTTGATGTATTCGGGTCTACTCCCGTGCATATATATATATCACTGCACACTAAGAGGTCCCAAGCAAGGATTTAAGCAGAACCACCAGGGGCTCGTAACACTGAAGTCTTGCTTGAAGTGCCAGAGGACATCCTGCAAGAAGGAACCCGTGGATTGGGCTTGGATTGGGCTCCATGCTTGATTTTGCCTGTCCATGCAGGCAAGTCTCCTCAGGAACTCTAGCTCCAAAGAAGAGAACTCCATGGGCCTTTTTGCTTGGGATTTCCAGCTCCCACTTCAGCTGCTTCACTGAGACCCAGACTGCCTGTTGCTTTTTGAACGCTAGGAGTGAAAATACAGCTTCCTCCCCCAAATGGAATGCTCTTGCCAGAAAGGAGGATTCCGTCTGCCGGGACCAAACTAACCCTCCATCCTGCAGGGCCCACAAGCTGACGGCCATTTCCCTTGAAAGATCAGCCCTGCTTTATATCAGACATGAGCCTCTCCGGTCCAGGGGGCAAAGGCAGCAAAGAACAAGGGGCCAGGAACTGTCCTTGGCCAAATCAGCCTGGATGACCTGGGCCTGACTCTCACACGGGGATCCAGGTGTCCCCAAGAAGATTCAGAATTGAGCTCAAAAAAAAACTCAAGCAAGAAGAGAGGTGCAGCACAGACAAAATGGGCTTCAGCAGGAGAGGTGGAAAATAGGCAGAAGAGGAAGAGTTTGGGGGAGGAGGGACAGAAACAATGGAGCCTGCAGAAAGGAAACCTACAAAGAAGACGGAAAGAAAAGCCGCCCAAGGGAAGGTCTTCTTGGCTCTCTGGAAAGGGAGGGGCCTGCTTCCATCTCACAATATCCTGCCTAGCGGGCTCTGGGCAAAGCCTTTCAAATGAGGCTGGAGCCTTCCCCCCCACCCCCCCCCCCCCCCGACAAAGAACTCCCACCTTTCCAAGACTGATGAATTCAAATTATTGGAGAATCCACTGTGCGCACTTTTGGAAGACTGTAAAACTGACATCCAGCTGAGCTACATGGTAGTTAATCACGACTTTTAAAAAAAGCACTTCCCAAAAGGAAAATTCCCTAAAAGCTACCTCTGCGCTGCTGGGTTGCCATGAAAAGGCCCAGGATCCACAAGAAGTCAGCAGCTCAGTTCCCCCACTCCAAACGGGTTATACTCTGCTCCTCCTTCAAATATGATCCACCCAAAGGGATCTGGGATAGAGAGCCCCCTCTTCTCCCCCACCGCCAAAAAAAGATAGCATCACTTGCTTTTTTTATACTGACCCCACGGCCGGTTTGCAGCGATCTTCTAATTTAATGCAGTAAGTGGTTCTACGTACCTCGTACACATGTATATGCACACACACACACACACACACACACACCTGCTCCACGCACATCGGTCCCCAATGAAGGCATGTGCAGAAGCTCAACTATCTCAAATCTGGTTTATCTGACTAGCAAATGCACCCTTTTTGTTTTTGGGTTCCAAAAGATACAATTCCAGGACAGATCAGTGCAGTTTTAATGTTTTCTGTCCAAGGTCTTCAGTTGCATGTCTTGCATGTTAACATTTCTCAGAGGTTACACAGAGAAGCCTATCTATTTATAACACAAGGAAGGGGTAGAAGGAGGCGGCTGGGGGGGGGGGGGTGTCTGCTCTAGCTTTATAATACGTTTAAATAGATAAATCGAGTTTTTCTCCATGCCCTTCCTGCTGCATTTCCAATGGCTGGAGTGGAGGAAATTCAGTCCTGATGGTTGTACACTACTGAAGCCAAAACAACCACCTAAGGGCTGCCGGCTGAAGCACCTGCATGGAGAAACCATGGCAATGAGTAAGAGGAGGCATTTCAGCCTGGCGTGCATGCCTCCCGAGCCCTTCTTCTCAGCCGCTCTCAGAGTCCTGCTCCATCGTTCACAAACAGCAGAGGCTTCACTCCAGAGACAGCCCTTCGCTTCGCAAACAGTGGAATCACGGCAGGGAGAGGCCAGAGCTTGGCAGGCTTGACGACCCAGTCTTTCCAAAGCTAGACACAGCCTTGGCACGGCACGGCCCCTTCGCTCCTGTGGCTTAGTTTACTCTGTCAGGTTTGCCCATCGAAGGGCTCTCTTCTGGCAGGCAGGGACCAGCTGCAGAAGGGCCCTAGAGCTGTGCTTGGCAGAGGAGCTGCTCAGGGCAGGCAGGGAGCCACCGTGTAAGTGCCTTCTGTGGAGGTGTGCTGCGCGCTGTGCTCCTGCAGCAAGCCCAGGTCCAGGAAGCGCTCGCCACACCACATGCACTTGTAGTGCTGCTCTCGGGTGTGGACCCCGTGGTGCTTGTTCAGGTGCTCCCTCTGTTTGAAGGCCTTCTCGCAAGAGGGGCACTTGTACGGCTTTTCTCCCGTGTGGACACGCCGGTGGCGCTGCAGGTCGGAGGCATACTTGAAGCGCTTCTGGCAGTCCGGGCACTTCAGGGGCCGTTCGCGGGCAGGATCACAGCGGTGCTGCACAAACTCTGAGGAGGAGAAGAAGCGCCGTTCACACAGGGTGCAGCGGAGGGGCTTCTCGGCACAGTGGGAAGCCAGCTGGTGCTTCTGCAAGGCGGAGGCACGCTTGTAGGCCTTGCTGCAGGCCGTGCATTTGAAAGGCCGCTCAGCACTCTGCACACAGCGGTGGCGCAGCAACTCAGAGGACTGACTGAAGCCTTTCTGGCAGGCGTTGCACTTGAAGAGGTTCTCGATGCCGTGGACGTGTTGGTGGTAGAGCAGGTGGGCTGGCTGCACAAAGCCTTTTTCACACAGGGAGCACTTGAAAGGCAGCGGGGCGGCTTCCTGCTCTGAAGACGGGGCAGGGACCACAGCCTTGTGAGTGCGGCGGTGACGCATGAGCGCATACTGTTGCTTGAAGCTCATCTGGCAAAGGTCGCACTGAAAGGGACGCTCCGTGCTGTGGGTGCGCTCATGCTGCCGGAGGTCCGAGGGCCGCCGGAAGGCCTTGTGGCAAGCCGCACAACGGAAGGGCCGCTCACCGCTGGGCGTGCAGGGGTGCTGCAGCAGCTCTGAGGACTCTTTGAAGTGCAACTCGCAGACATTGCAGCGGAAGAGGTGGGCCTCGCCCGAGTGGGCGTACATGTGGCGCACCAAGTGGGAGCGGTGCTTAAAGGCCTTCTCACACACGGTGCATTTGTAGGGCCGTTCAGCGCTGTGGGTACGCTTGTGATGCACCAGGTGCGAGGACTGGCTGAAGCTCTTGTCGCACAGGCTGCATTTGTAGGGCTTCTCCCCAGTGTGCACCCGCTCATGTCGTGACAGCTCCGAGAGGTGCTTGAAGGGCTTCTGGCAGATAGAGCAGCTGTACGGCTTCTCCGCGGGGGTCCGGTTCAGGGCCGCTGGCTGCTGTGGTGGGGCAGGTTCCTCGGGAGCTGCCACTGCCGCTGCGGCCGCCTTGTAGGTCTTTTCACAGATGGAGCACTTGACAGCCGTGTTGCCATTATGGACACTGTGGTGTTGGGCCAGCGAAGTGAGCAGGGAGAAGCCCATCTTGCAGACACCACAGACAAAGGGCTTCTGTTCCACCTGCAGGCACTGGTGCTCCAGGAGGTCCGTGGCCTGATGAAAAATCTTCAGGCACTGAGTGCACTGGAAGGAACGGTCGTGGCCACCTTGTAGGCATTGATGCTCCTGGGGGTTGGAGAGGTGAGACAGGTCGTGCCCACAAACCCCACATTTGGGAGAGGCCTCCCCACCGCCGCTGGCAGAGATGGGTGGGTGCTGCAACCCGCTGGGCTCCGGCTGCAGGAGGATACCATAGACGGCACAGCCCAAAGGGTTCTCGGTCACTGCACTGGGCGGAATGGGGTGCTCTGGAAGGGTGGCCGTGGCCCCGTGATGCGGGGGCTGCTGGGGGGGTGGCGGCTGCTGTGACCAGGTTTCTGACATGCTGGGGAGAAAAAGAGGGGGGTTCCACAATAACTGAGGCAGAGCAATCAAGGAAACCTATTCCTAGAGAACGATCACTAGAGTGGTCGTGCGAATCCTCGGAGGAGGGGCCAGCTACCTTTGAGACACATCAGACCAAAGCAGGCCAGACATCCCGGTGGTCACCTTGTGGTCCCAGCCCCTTGTCCTTCTTCCAGAAAGCCTCTGAAGGAACCTGCAAAGAAAGAGAATAGGCTAGTAAGAATCACCTGCAACTGCCTTTCCAGCAGAAGCGGATTTCAGGTTGGGATCAGGGTACAAGAGCTCCAAAACAAGGTTCCTTCACATGAAACACAGCATTGAAAACTGAGGATCAGAATCAGCAAGAGAATTTTGCTAACCAGGGCCATAGTTCAAGATCTGTCTCCCCCACCAGAGTCCCTGAATTGAAATATCTTGCTTTCTTCACCGCTATCTGGAGTTCACTCAATTCTGAAACAGAATTTCTGAATTCTGAAATCACGGTGCCTATTACTGCAGGCCTGGGAGCTCTTTATTTGAAGTCAGGAAGATCGGAAGTTAGGATCTGTGATCACCAGCCTGGAAAGAACAGTCTGCTCAGTTGCTGGTGGGCTACATTACAATCAGAAAAATACTCATTGCAAGGACCATTGATGGAAACAGAAGAAAACTCAAAGGAGCCTTAGGATCAGTCCCCTTTCTTTCAAAGGAAGCGACAGATTGCCTAAGAATGTTCACATGGCTTTCTCAGCTTTCGGCTCCACAGCTGCTCTCGGGGATCCCGGGTGCCTAGCGCACTGGGGAACAGAAGGGCTGCCCTTCCTTGATCCTGAGGCTTCTCTCCACTCAGGCCGCCCGGCTGCAGAGTCAGAGGGTCCCCCAGGCAAGTCCTGCCGAAGATGGGCACAAACCCCCAAGTCCCCGCAAAGGCCGCCAAGCACCAGACGTGCAGTCAGCCTAGCCTGGCGCTTGTTCCGACCGGGATGCTCTTCGGGGGCGGCACAAACCCGACCCGGATCCTCGGCCCGAAAGTGCCGCTCGTCCCCCGGCTCCGCAGAGCGGCCGCTCTTTCCGCTCCTCCACAGGCGGGCAAGGGAAGGCCTTCGGGCCGCCGGCTCTGCCTTCGGCAGGGGGGGGGGGCTGGAGGGGGAGGCGCAGCGGCAGCCTTAACTCTGCACGGAGACGGGCCCGACCGGAGGAGCCGCCCAGGGCTCGTGGCTGCCAGGCCCTCCGGCTTCCATTCCGCGCCGCGACCCGCAAGGCCGCCCTCGGGGCTCCCGGGCCGCGCTTCCTCTGCCGCCCGGCGCTCCCGGCTCCTCTGGGGAAGCCCCGCGGGCGACCGAGAGGAGCGGTGGGGCGGCGGCCGGAAACCCCGGAGGCCGAGGGCGCCGACTGCCGGGCGGGAGAGGCCTGCGGGCTTCCCGGGCCCGGCAGACGGAGCGCGGCGCCCTCTCGCTCCGCCCCGCAGCGGCCTGGCTCGCCCGAAGCTCCCCGGCGCCGCCCTCCTGCCTACCTGGGGCCCGGCGCGCCGCCACGATCCCCGGGCTCGCGTAGCGGATGGGCGGGCGAGGCCGGCTGGCTGGGCGAAGAGGCGGGGGGGGCCCGGCGGTCGAGGAGGCGCCCGGAGGAAGGGGCGGCGTCGGAGAAGAGCCGCGGAATCGGCGCTGCCCTCTGCCGGACCGCAGGGGCAGCCGCGTCGGACGCGAGGGGAAACTGCGGCGGGCGGGCGGGCGGGCGGAAGAGCGCCCCTGGTGGTGGGTCCGCCCGCTCTGCCTCTCCGCGGGCGCCGCTTGGCAAGGAAGGCCTCCCTGCGGCCTTGGCGGCAGCCGCGTGCGGACGCTCCCTTCCCCCCTCCCGCTGCCCTGCGGCGGGGTCCCAAGGAAAGGGGCCGAGGAGCGCTGGGCACCACAGGCGGAGCTGGCCGGTCCGTTGTGCCAACCGCCAAATGGCTTCTCTTGGAAGCCGCGGCGCTTCTGCCAGGGCTAGCCAGGATTGCCTGGCTCTTTGGGTAGCGGCAGCAGCCAGGCGGCCCTTGCTCCCCAAGCCCAGCCTTCGGCCCAGGCTTCGGTTGTTGTCTCCCAAGTGCAAATGTGCATTTTTGAACGACACCTTATTAAGTGAGAACCAATAAATATCAGTACCCTTTTATAGGCCAATCTGAGGGGTTAGCAACCCCCCTCCCCACAATTTTCTGTCATCTGGGATTTTTGTCCCCTCATGTACATCCTTTATAAAAAAGGTTGAAGAGCACAGTCCAGTGGGCAATCCTGACAACCAAACACTCATTTATTTTCCCCAAAGTTTCTGGGAGTTTAAAGTGAACACAGGGAGATCTAGAGTTCGTGCATCAAACTAAGTTATAATCTGAACAATGCTCCGTTAACGGGGCTTTTACAGGGTACTACTAAGCCTTGAGCTCTGATTTATAAAGCCCAATGCCTGGGCTCATGAAACCTGCTAGATTAAAACTAAAGCATTATGGCCCTGCATGTCGGTTGCCTGTGGGGTCTAATGTGACTGGTGAGACCCTTGCCATAGAGGTGGTAACAACCTGTAATTTTGTCCAACCGCTTCTCCACTCCTAGCGGGTGCCATCTGGGCCCTTCAGCCAATCAGATTTGCAGAGAGGCAATCTCACCCATTGCTGAATTGATCTCATTGCTAGGAAGTATTTCCTCACCTACAACAGATCCTACCTTCTTGTAATATAAGCCCACCATATTTTGTCCTGCGTTCTGAGAACCAGCTTTTCAAATGATCCTCACTTAATGACCACAGTTGAGCCCAGAATTTCCATTGTAAGTCACTGTGGTTATTAAGAGGTTACCACATGACTTAAAGCAAATCACCTAAGTCATTAAGCAAAAGGAATGGTTCTTAAACAAATCTACTCTTCAGCATGGGCATTTCCTTTAAAAAAAAAGTTTTTTTTTAAAAAAAGAAGCAGGGTGGGGTGGGGTTGAACAATTGTTAAATGATCAGTCATTAAGTGAGGACCACAGAATACAGACGAACTGTCAGGTCCCTGCCGGAACGCAGCCATTCCAAAAGAGAGGGGGGAGGCTTCTTGGGGCTGATTGCTTTCAATGCTTTGGCTTTAGTTGTAACTGCATGGGAATTAAAGAGGGGGACCGGTCCTTCAGGATGGATTCCCTCTCAGCTGGTTCCAGCCTGTTACTCAAGGCTGCGATGTCCCGAGGATGACCTGTTATCACTATCCCATCTTGGAATTCTCATAACACCTTTGCGGCATTGTATTGGCTACTGGTGGACATGGGGCTCTGGGTGGGGGTTGAACAGGGGAAATTAGCTTAATGCTTTGTGTGGGAATCTTCAGACTCCACCTGACTTCTCTGCAATCACTTCTCTCAGTAAAAGCTCCTTTTGAAATACCATCTGTTTCAAGAGTCATGCGTTCCTGAGAAGATAGCTGAGGCAGGGCCTTACATTAGGCGGAGTCTGCAAAATGGTCAACCCGGAGAGGCATCTGCCCTACTGAGGGGACCGTGCAAATGATGTCTGCTAAAGGCAGCGACCAGGAGGAAGCTGAATGCTGGGGTGAAGCCTCTGCTAAGGCTTACCCAGGAGCAAACTCTGCTCGATGAATGGGGGAAGCTTTGAGCCTGGGGGACTCATCTAAGCCCAGGTGGTCCATAAGCGTTGGAAAGAAGGACAACTGGGAAGGGAGGACATCCTCCCTTATCTGAGGTAGTCGCTGGCAAGGATGGAAAGAGGAGCTGGAGGTGCTGGAGGAGGAGGAAGGAGATGAGCCTGACCATGCTGACCTCCTCATGAAGCAAGCCATGCAGTATATGATGGATGCCTTCCAGAATCTTAAAAGCGCAAGAGGCTTTGGCTCAAATGTCGGAAGATGATGGCCGAAGTGGCCAATCAGAGGATGGGGATGGGAAAGCCTCATCTTTGGATACCACGGTGGTAGTTGAAACACTGGCAGGGGCAGCAGCAGTGGTGAGGACCCCTAAGGGGAACAGGGGAAGTGAATGTCCCGAGAGTGGGGGGTGGCACAGCTCCCAAAAGAAGGAAGCCCCCCCTGGGGTGAAGTTTAATGGAGACCCTCAACAACTGGGATTTATCCTGGCCCACGTTCTCATCTACATTGAAGAGTATGGCAATGAAATCCCTACTAAAGGAGCCAATTCAGTGGTCAGTTGTTAGCGGCTCACCCCAGTTCGGGAAAACCGGTAGCAGCGGCAGCGGAAGGCTCTGCCCACCCACCCGGACGTCATCAAATATGCTTTGCGCATGCACAGAAGCTTCTGCGCAAGCGAACTGGTAGCAAAGGTAAGTGAAACCCACCACTGAGCCAATTGTCATGCTGGCGGTAGAAGGGGCCACAGCCAGTTGGATGGTGACCCTCCACAATGCAAATGCCCAAGCTGAGAAATTTCAACTGATTTATGACAGCTCTAAGATGGCGATTCGGAGACCCCTAGCTGATTGCAAAGCCTGAGACCGCAGAAAAACTGCGGAGCACTGGCCGGTAGCAGTTTCGAGACTTAGCCTGCTGCCTCAACTGGCCAGAAGGCATACTGGTGAGCTGTTTCAAAGATCGCTAAATGATGATCTGTACACCACTTGCGTCGCGAGAGGGGCCCCAGCTTGTCTCCATCACTGGTGCATGCTGGCTGAAGAAGTAGAGATCAACCAAAGCCCGAAAGAAATACCACGGCAGCAAAGTGTGGAAGAGGTCACCTCCAGAGAGGAAGAGAGAGAGACTGCCAAAGCCCAAGTCCAGCCAATGCACTCCACCACCTGCTTCAAATGTGGGAAATAGGGCCACCGAGCAGCAGAATGCCAAGCTAACCACCTGGCCAAGAAAGGGGACCAAACGCCAGGAGGAAAACCCATGAGACAGCAATCCCACGTGGAGATGGCACTGAAGAGCTTGAAGGTTGAGAAATCTTTTTTTTTTATTATAATACTTTATTGATTTAAAAAATTTTTTTAAAAAAGAAAACATCAAATCTCGGTTAACATCTGAGGTGTCGTGCGGTTACATATTTACATTATGTACATATCAAGTATCTTCAAATCTACCATTATTAGAAATAGACATATTCTTATAGTCTTGTTCTCTTGTTCTTCAAGACAACAAGAAGAAGGTTGAGAAATCTATCCCCTCATTTAAACGAGAGGAGGGAATGCCGACCCCACCGGAGGGTCAACTCCAATGACCCCATGGTAAGTGGCCTGATCATACCTGTTACCATGCCCATAGAGTTACACCTCCTGGGGACTGGACTGAAGGCATCCCCAAAAGCCTGTACCAGATGCTTAGTGAGCCCAGCCCTGGTAGAGAAGTTGAGAATAAGCCTGAGAAAGCTAAAAGGACTAATCCCTTTTTGCCAGCTCAGTCACAGGGGACATTCCTGCCATTTTCGCCACCAAATCCCTAGGAGTCCAGATGGGGGGGCCCATTCAGAAGCTTTGAGCTTCATAGTAGCCCTGGGGATGGAAAAACCCTTCATACTGGGGCTGGGCTGGTTGAAAAAATGGAACCCATGTGTGGACTGGAGAAGGGGGCTATTGAAATTCCCTCCAGGGGACAAGCCCCCACATAGAGAGAGCAGTTGATCAGGCAGGCCTTATGCCAGGAAATGGGAGCAGCAATGCAAGGGAAACCCCTTCCGGTCATCCGCAGAGAATATCGAGACCTGAGGGATGTGTTTAGTGAAAAGGGGTCAGACGAGCTTCCCTCCCCCCGGACTGTGCTATTGAGATCGTTCCCAGGGCCAAGCTACCAAAACTGAAACTCTACTTGATGACCCCTAGGGAGTTAAATGAGTTACATGCCTTCATCGACAAGAACTTAACCCAGGGCTTTATCCAGCGGTGAAATCTGGCCGCAATTGGCCGCAATTGGCCAGTGGTAAAACAGATTAGAACCCACCACTGTCTGGCATGATCTGTTTTTGACCCATGTTGGCTTCTGATTATAACTTGACTTGCTTCTAGGTGTTTGCAGATCTGTTGCTTGAATACCTTTTTCAGGCTCTTCCCAAATATTGATGTCAGACTGATTGGTCTGTGGTTTCTCGGATCCATTTTTTTCTTTTTTGAAGATGGGAACCACACCAGCTCTTTTCCAGCCCTCTGGTAGTTCCAGTGCTCTAGGATCTTTGAAAAATATGGTTCAGTGGTTCTGAGCTCATGTCTGCCAGCTCCTTCAAAACCCTGGGATGTAATCCATCTGGTCCTAGTGATTTGAACTCGTTTAGAGTTGTTGGAAGAAAAATCAAGCCTAGTTCCAAGCTGGGAGAAAGGCACTGGAAATAAAATGGGAGGCTGATTGGAAAGGATGACTGTTTATTGATGAGCAGAACCAACCACAGCCTGCATTTCTGGGACAGCTGACAAATTAGCTTGATGAGTGCAAGGATTTTTATAGTTTACAGTATTTTATAATTTTGAGATTTGCTTTGTCTGTTTTTATTATTTTATTAGTGGTCTATTATGTCCTAAAGGTCATGTCGTGTCCTTAATTCCATCACCTGGAGTTGAAGATGTTTTCTTTATGAATAGATTGGCCCTGATTTCTTAATGGGCACAAAATATCCATCTCTAAAGATTTCAGGCATCTGCTGGAGGCTTGTTGGGGGGTGCTTTCTGCCATTTCTCTATTTCCTTTGGGGGAATATAATATTCTGCCTCTTTTAATGTTCCCCCAAATATTTAATTCCTTTAGGGGGGGGCTTCTCACAGAGTGTATAGGGGTTCCCTTGCCATTTTTTTTTGTCTATTTTGAGTTTTATTCCTAATATCTATATTTTATAGTACTGTTTTTGTACATTGGGCTATTTTTCCCTTTTGCATGAAGACAAATGCAAAAAATGAATTAAGCAGCTCTTTCTCCCTGTTGCTTGTCATCTCCTTCCCCTCTTCTATTAGTGAACCAATCATTTCCTTGACCTTATTCTTGTTTTTTACATGTTGAAAGAAACTTTTATTATGACGACTACAGAGTCATCTCCCTAGCCTTCCGTTTTTAATTCCGCCCTCTTGGGATAACTCCTTTTCCTTCAATGCCAGTCTCGAGCTCTGGGCAAATCCACGATGCCCGGAGAAGCTCGGCCAGCCTGAGCTTGCAGGAGAGGCGTCCAGGGAGATTCCCTCGTCCCACCCGCCGGCCGCCTCCCGCTGCTCTGCCGACCCCTCCCCCATAAAGGCGCCCCTGGGTCTCCGGGAAGCAGGTGGGGAACCCTCGAGGCCATCGAAGCCACCCCGCGAGGAGACGAGCCAGGCGCCGGCTCCTACGCAGGAGGGAAAGGCCTCCGCTTCCCGTGGCCCGCCCCCCCTCCCCCCCCGCTCCGGTTGGTGAGGGAGACGGAGGTGGCCACTCAGCGCTCCGTTCACCGGCTCCGCAGGGGAACCGCCCACCGGAAGCGGGCCGGCGGAGACGACTTTATAGGCCGTAAACCCTCATCGGGGGGCGGATGTCATTTCTGCGCAGGCGTGACCTTTCGGTTTCCTCTTCCGGCCATGAGGGCGGCGTTGGTGGACTACAGCAGCTCCGGCTCGGAGGACGAGAGCGAGGCCGCCGCCGCCGCCCGGGAAAAGAGCAGCGGGGACGCCCGGTCTGGCCCGGCGGGCGGCCGCGGTTTCTCCCCTCCGGGCAGCAGGTGAGCTTGAGGCGGTGCCGGTGAGGCCTTGGGCGCCTCCGCTCTCCCTCCCTCCCGAGGGCGGCAGCTCTTTCCCCGCAGCGGAGGCTGGGCCGGCTGCGCCTGCGCGGCGTTCGTGGGGCCCGAGGCCCCGTCCCGGCTGCCTTGGCAGAGCCGGCCAGCCCAGGCTCCAGCGGCAGCGGGTCGCCTCTTCCCGGGGTGGCTGCTGTGGGCAGAGGGGCGGCCGGGCCTCTCTCTGCGGCGCTGGTCTCCTGCTCAGACTCGGGCTGGGCCGCGCTAATAGTGCCCGAAGCCCCCGGAGGCTCTGAAGCCGCAACGAGGTCGCAATGTGCCAGGAGGAGGAAAAGGCCAAGAGGACTTTCCGGGCTCCGAGGCCTCCTGGGGTTGCAGCACAGGGGCAACATCTGGTATGGGGGGGGGGCGGGGGGGCTTCCTCCTCCTGGGGCGGAAAGTGGCAGAGCACAGCAGGCATTGGACTCGCCTGTTGACTCAAACCAACTTGGTTGGTGCAATAAACTCCATAAACACAATAAGTAAAACCAACATATTTCAAGCTACCCCAGACTGGAATGTTCTGGAAAAGGCAGTTCTGCTCTCTCAGCCCCGTGAAACACGCCTAGCCCTCCTCAAGTCACCTTTTCCTTAAGGTGGAGAAATTTCTCATTAGACAAGCTGCAATATTCCATGCCCAGAGTTCTGACCTGTTTTTTCCCTATTTTTTCACTTGATATCAGTGGGGAGAGTCCGTCCCTCTGTGGCCTAGTCCCAGAATACCTCTTTGCCCTGCCCTAACTGGAAAACCCCACCCTTTCCACTTACTCTAACTGGACAAGTGGTGCTGTTGCTGTTGGACAGGGATAGAGTCTGTTCCAAGGCTGTTTGTCTTCTGATCTTTGAGCAGAAAATGCTTCGGCTGCCAACTCTCTCCATCCATTTTGCAGAGCTGCAGTGCCCTCCCTCCCCTTGCCAGACAGCGTGCGGAGGATGTTCAAGGATCAGGAAGAGAAGGAAAGGGTGGTGGATGACTGCAGTAAACATGAAGGCCGCCTGCGGACATTTCCTCATGAACGAGGCAACTGGGCAACCCATGTGTACATGCCGTGTAAGTCTCTCTTGATGTTTCCCCCTTCTCTGGAAGAGGAGTGGAGGATTGGCCCTGGCCTTGGGAATCTTTATGGCTGTCTTGAGCAGAGTGGAACACTGGAGCAAGGCTTTCTCTGCTTCTGACCTGCCCAGAGAGCTAATTTTTCTAACATTTCTAAAGCAATGAAAGAATTTTGGGTTTCTGGAAAAAAAATGACAATGTGTGTGTGTGTGTGTGTTTTAATGTACCCGGTTTGGTGCATTCTTTTCCATAAGTACTTTGTTGATTGGAGAAATGCATTGCAAAATTGAAGGAACTGGTGGAGGATTTAACATTATTTCCCCCCCCCCCCATCATAGTCAGATCACAACCTGGTGTCCTTGAGATTCTGTTATGCCATCCCTGTCTACAGGGAGACCATTTGAGTGGACTATCCTGCCAATTGATGGACTCAGATGAATTCCAGATGGAATTGGAGGGTGGGCGTGGGGGTGGGGGGACGGCTGTCCAGAGGAACTTGTTGAACACTCAATGCACAAAGATTGGTTCCCAGTTGGAGTGTGGTGCAGGTCCATGTGGGATGCCTGGTGAAAGGTCTTGCTCACTTATCTGGGGACAGTTCGATTCTGTTTGACCAAGGAAGTGAACAGGGTCCTCAGCATGGACATTGCAGCCATCTGTCAATTAGATCCTCGTCCCTGCTGATTGGTGAAAGCCTCCAGGATGGTGATTGGTAGGTTCAGGCAGTGAGCAATTCCTCACTGCAAGAGAGCCTTTTAAGGAGTCCCTGGTTGGCCCCTTCCTCAAAAAACCATTGCTTGATCCCACTTGCCTGGACACTTTTGTCCCATTTCCCACCTTCCCTTTCTAGGGAAACTGTTAGAAAAAGTGGCTGCTTGGCAGCTTCTGGGGGTCTGGACCGCTTCCAGTCAGGCTTGGTTATGGGACAGAAACAGCATTGATTTTGGATGATCTCTGGTGAGAGCAGGATAGGGCTAGTGCAGCCATCCTTGCTCGTGATCTCTCAGGAACTTTCAATACCATTGTCTGGGATTCTGACCACCCCAAGGCAGAAGGGATGCCAAGGGACTGGAAAGCAGGCAGAGAAAAGCCCCCCATATAGTGAGATCCTACAGAGAGCAATTGAAGGGATGGGGCTTTTGAGCCCAAAGAAGAGAAGAGCCCTTTCAACCTTCCAATGGACAGGGGTGGATATATTTTGCACAGCTCTTGAGGGCAAAACTCGACCCAATTGGTGGGACCTTTTAGGGAGTGGTCTAAACTGAAAATAAGAATTTCCTGACAGTAAAACCTATTAAGTAGTGGAGTTGCCTAGCTCCTGAAGTTGTAGGGCTGGACAGCCATTTATCTGGGAGGGATCTGAGGATTCCTGAACCTGGCAGAGAGTGGATTGGGAGGTCTGGCAGTTAGTCTGCTGCATGGTAAATGGTCAACTCAATCACACTGGCCATGCCCTCCCATGGCGGTCATCTTGCAAAGGTCCTCCCAACCCTGGGATTCTAAGTACACCTTGGGCCTTTCTGGCATCCTTGGCCAGGGCAAAAAGCATTTTTAAGGCAGTGGTTCTTAACTGGGCATTATTAGGGCACAACCTGTAATTGCTTGTTTGCGAACTGTTTGGGATTCCTGCTGTTGAGATGCTTGTGTAAAATAGTAGACTTGGGGGAGGGAGTTGGGGTGGAGTGGTAATATTATTTGAGACCAGAAAAAGGGGTCATATAGTTTAAGAGCGCCTGTTCTGCTTTTTCCACAGGCAAAGCTGGGGAGGACTTTCTGGATTTACTGCAGCTCCTCCTAATCTGTGGGCGCGCTTATGTGCCTCTGCTGACGGGACAGGAAGAATTCCACATCAGCCTCTCTCAAGGTGTAGTGTTGCGCCATCACTGGATCAACTCTTTTGTCCAATCCCTCAAAGAACGCTTGTCTTCCTGCCACAGGTGAGGCCCATAGTCCATGCTGGCAGTGAGTTTCTGTCGTGACTGATAGCATAGGACTTACAGGCTGCTTTGGGGAGGTTATCTGGCTTCTGATGAGCAGATGAGCAGATATGGGCAAAGCAGAAACAGAAGCCCATCAGGTATTGATAAATGCCTGTGGGGTAGGAGACAGCATACATAAAATCCCACAGGAGGGGACACCTGTTGTGGCTGCAAGCAGTGGCATTTTTCTTCTGCAGAGTGTTTCTCAAATTTCTCAAGTTTTAAACTGCATGGACTTCAACTCCCAGAATTCCCCAGCTGCAAGTCCACATATCTTACTCTTGCCGAGATGGAGAGCCTCTATTCTAAAGTCACAACTGTTAAAGATATTGTTGTGTTAACAACCAGCAGAGCGTAGAGCACATGGAAACGGTGCTGAGAGCAATAATGAATACAATACATATAAACTGATTTATCAAAGTTTTTACTTAGTAGTGAAAAACAATCTCATAGTCTTTAATCAATCCAAGTCTTAGCCAATCATAATCAGTCCAGAAATACAAAATTCTTCTTACCAGTTTGTAGTAAAAGGATCAAACAGGAACAATATAAATAGTTCTTAAAAACAGAATAAATAAACCATGATCACATTAGACCATGTAAGAGATCAAGTAGAAATTACAAAACAGCAGTAGATAATAAATAGTAGCAAGTTCACACTGATAACAGGTCACGATGGTGGCATGTCCACAATGATTACATTCAAGCTCTCCTTAAATACAGTTACTACAGAGCTTATCCAATCAGGATACAATGACTCAGCATTACAATGACTCAGCAGTACTTCTTAAAGTCATAGAATACATATTCATCATGTTTTTTGTTTTTTTTAAAATTTGATTTATATATGCCGTCCTTCTCCGGAGACTCAGGGCGGCTTATAATGTGTTAAGCAATAGCCTTCATACGTTTGTATATTTTATACAAAGTCAGCTTATTGCCCCCACAAACTGAGTCCTCAATTTAACCTACCTTAGAAAGGATGGAAGGCTGAGTCAACCTTGAGCCTGGTGAGATTCGAATTTACAGTAATTGCAGACAGCTGGTGTTAATCACAATGCTATCAGTCTGCTGAGCCACCAGGCCCAATGTTAGCTTATATATTGCCTGGCCAACCTGTTAGGCAAGCATCATATCCTAACATACTCCCCTTTGGATAGGTCAATATATACTGGTTCATATTCTCAAGCCATAGTTTTCACAGCACATCTTATGTTTAATTGCACCCTGCGCTTTGGTGAAATTATTGGCAATATTGTTTTCGGACATACAATATTCCAGTTGGACCATATTGCTTTGAATACTCTGACGAACATTTAAATAACAAATGTCAGTATACTTAGACCTTGTCTTAACTGCCAAATTGGTCGCCATTTTTATGGCAGCTTGGTTATCCTCAAAAATTATAATTGGATAATCTACCTTCAAGCCGACATCCATCATTAGTTGTTTATAATATATCAGATCGGTACACACTAGTGACAAACATGAGAATTCTGCTTCCATAGTGGATAGACTAATGTGTTTCTGCTGTATTGATTTCCATCCAATTAGACAGTTTCCTAACATCACAATACATGATGTAGATTTTCTGGTGGTCAAATCAGTAGCAAAACTGGCATCAGCATATGCGCTCAGTATAAGATCACGGTTAGGTTCCAAATAGGCATAATGCATTGTCATTTTTAAATATCTCATTATCCGCTTTGCGGCTTGCCAATGCCGATCTGTTGGCTCTGCATTATATCTTGCTAATTGGTTTACGCTATATGAAATATCAGGTCTCGACCAATTGCTGATATATGATAGACTTCCTATTAGAGATTGATAGATCTCCTTGCTAAATCCAGGACTTTGGATTTCTCTATGTTGAAAATCCTGAGCCATAGGAGTTTTAGCTGGCTTTCATAGCTCCATACTATAGCGTTTCAACATTTGACTTATCTTGCTAGACTGAGACAGTCCTAACAACAACAGAGCAAAACAATGATGTTGCAAAGGGGCCATAAACTGCTGCTTTTTCCTGTGTCTTGTGTTGGTCTTTCTGAGGGGAAGGTTTTTGTTTGCTTGTTTTTTAATTATGTTATATCTACAAAGAGTTGTATTTCATGCCCCAAGGCAGTAGAAAGCCATGGCACTAATTTTCACCAGATGTGACAAGAAGGCAAGAAAATTGCAGAGCTGCTGACTATGGTAGAGCTCCGGTCCCCTCCTCCCCCAGCTGACAGTTCATGATGCCTGAGAAGCACCTGCCCTTCAGGAGTCCTTGACTGCACTTCCCACGCATGGAAGTGGCAGTCTTTGGGGTCAGGGACATTTCTGATAACATGTACTGGGGGCCTTGCAAGATGGCTGCCATGGGAGGCCATGGCTGGCATTAATGAGTTGCCTTTTACTACGTAGCAGACTGGCTGCCAAAATCCTGTTGGCCGTCCCAGAGAGGCTCTGTGGGCCTCAACATGTTGCTGCAAGCTTCCATTCCCATCATTAACTCTGAACTTTGGAGATCAGACTGGCCCCAACTCCGTCAGCCCTTTGTAAGGCCCTAAAAACCTGTCTATTTCTCAAGCCTGGGGCGCTGAATGTCACAAGGGCCCCGTTTCCTGGCTGTATTGCTAATTGGCCAAGTAGCTTGCTTTTGTGTATGTTGAATTAGATACTTTCAATGTTTTTCACTGGTTTCCTGTTTTTATTGTTTTTATATGTTTTTTTTTATCTTTAATCGTAATATATTTTCAGAATTGTAAGCTGCCAGAGTCATTGAGATGAGCGTCCATAGAAATTGAACTAGTAAATAAATTAGGCAAGTGTCCCCAAATCTCAGCATGCAATGAAGGAGGGAAAAATAGCACAATGATTAAATTGGCATAATTGAATTGGGTATCGAAGCTTGGAAGTGTCATCAGAAAGTCCCGGAGAAGCAGAGAGGTAGCTTCGTCTTGTTTCTGCCTTTCGTTTCCAGTTTAGTTGGAATCTCTGCTGTTTTTCAGATTCATCTTCAGAGCTGATCAAATGAAGGTTTATACCAATGAGACCAAAACCAGGTGGGTGAAGGATTGTTGATCTTCCCCCTCAGATGTGGAGAGCCTTGTGGGCTAGAAATAAAAGGACCTGGCCATTAGTGTGGGAAGATTGCTTCAGTTGCATTAGCAAAATATTTCTGGATATGAAAAGGAGGACAGGATGGGCAGGTGTGGTCTCAGCAAGTCCAATGTGGCTTTTCCAACTCCAGGATAGTCCCTGCTCAGGGGTTTTGTCTGCCCCTGCTACGATTCCAAATTGGGGGTGTTTGAATGGATGTGCCTCTATCCTGGAGGGGAGGGGCATTGGCTTCCATGGCATAAGGACTGTGGAGACTGGCAGAGGGAAAGGAGCTCTCTTGGAAATGTTCTACATGAATCCCCCCCTCCACCACTTCAGCAGATAGGGGTGGAGGTTTCCTAACAAGGACTGCAATTCCTTGTTCCTATTGGAATTCCTACAATTTCACCAGCCCCCCAAATTTGGCCACTCCTCCCCTTCCTTCCTTTCAGCCCCCACCAAGGTCCAGGGCATCCCTGCTCAGCAGATTTCCTCCATTAAATCCTCCTCAGCTAATGCAGGTGGTGCTTCTTCAGTACAGTTGCCTTCTTACCGGAAAGTGGTCCTTTGCTTTTATGCTTCTGTTTCCCCTGAACTTTAAAACCTTTTGTGCTGTCAGTTTGGCATCGCCCAAAAGCCATGCACATCTCCAAGAAAGCCTTTCTGTTTTCTGCAGGTGCCCTGTTTCCATGCACTCTTCTCTTGTGTTTGGGAACCGAGTTGCTATCCCTGCGAGATGTTGACAGTGGAACAACTGCTGCAAGTTACTCTCTAAAAATCTTCTTGCAGGACCTTTGTTGGCTTAGAAGTCTCTTCAGGACATTCTCAGATGTTGGAGTTGGTTTCAGAAGTGGATGAAGTAATGGAGGAATTTAACCTAATGCCTTTTTACAAGGTGAGGCTTGTAGCCATCTCAGGGAAAATAAGAAGTTACTGCTTTAGAATGAGTCTCTGGAGGAAGCTGAATGGTAACACTTGAATAATCAATTAAGCAGCTATTTAAATGCACTTCCAACAGCTCCAGTCTTCTTGTTTCCCTCCACTCTGCTTAGGGTAGTCAGTATTCCGTTACCAATATTTGATTCTTTTACTTCTGTTCTTTTATGAACTCTGAACCATCTTGCAATGCAGACTATAGCTCCAATTTATTCTAATTGAAGTGTTGGCAGTCAGTGCGCTATGCTGTGCTTGGCTATGCTGGTGGACCTTTCTCTGATCTTGACCACTGCTTGTTGCTCATAGGATCCCTCGTTCCACCTGAGCCTCGCCTGGTGTGTGGGGAATATGTCGGAAGCCCTCGGAGGCCAGTGTATTCAGGAAATGCAGGTAACCAGCCTTGGAAGCCTTTCGCTTTTGGGAAACTTGCTGCCAGGCAAGGAGGAGGGATCAAGTAGGGAATTAGCCTTGAGTGATTGCACAGCCACAAGAGAACTAGGGCTGACACACACACACACAAACAAACACGCACGCACGCTGTTTGTTCCCAAGAGAAGGCAAGCAGTATAGGGAGATTCTTGTATTATAGGCAGAGTTCAACAAAGTAGTCAGCTTGAACCCTACATTTATAGGTCTGATTGTGTGTGGCTGACATTAGCAGAGAGACAGTTGGGTCACCATACAGGTCATTCTGTGTCCCAATTTTGAAATGGACTTGGTTCAAACTTCAAACATGTTCAAGGTGGATCCATGTTGGATCCAGTTCTCTACCAGTCAGGTTAGAAGATCCGGTTTTCTCACCTTTCTTTTTTGATGAAGCCTGGAGTGAGTGTAAAGACCCAGCTGGCTGTGAGGGGAAGAGCGGAAGATTGTGACCAGAGACAGCATGAGACATGCACTGATTGGCTTAAACAATCTGCATTTCTTGACGCACCTTTTCAACTTGCAGATATGCCCAAGTCATACAGCCTTTCCTCTCCAGAGGGAATTTACAAGAGCCTGGCCCTTACAATTGTTTTAGCAGTGGAAGACTGAGCAGGCAATTAGGATGAAGGCACATGTGAAGGGGGCTCCTGGCATTTGCAGGGATCCAGCTGTGTAGGCTTTAAGCAACTTGGAATGAGGTTAGGGACCAGTGGATAAGCGAAGGACTGAGCCAAGCTGGAGGCAAAAGTTGATGCTGATGAATTCTGCCAGGCTTGTCTTATTTTGCTTCCCTGTTGTTGCAGGAGATTGTGGATGACTTTGAGGAGTCAACCCACTTGCTGCGAATTCCTGGGACTGAAGTCCGTTGCAAATCTGGCAATAAGGTCTTCTCGTTTCCTCTGAGATAGAGAAGCCCAGGAACAATAACAATCAATTTGCAGTAGAAACCATCAGCCCTTTTCCAAAGATGGTCAGGGGTGCCACCGGATTCCCATGAAGTCCATTGGGAGCTCAACTACCCATGGCAGCAGTAGACTATCCAACAGCACATTTCAGAGCCACGGCAGTTAATGCCCTCAGGCCTCTGCCAGGCCAGCTCCTACTTTGTTCCACTCCAGTTCTCAGCTGCTGGAGAAACACAAAGTATGGGAGCCAGTGAGATGTTTCTCCAAGCTGCAGGATTTTGTTTTGTAGAAGGCTGATCTCGGGGCGAGAGGCTGCCGGAGGATGCCTTGGGCATGGCGTCTGGTCATTTTGAGAGTGGACCACAGGTGAAATGAAGAAAAGGAGAGCCAATTTTCTTCATTGTCGGTTTCAGACACTTTGCTGAAAGGGTTCATCAAAGCTTCCTGGATAAGTGACTGCTCAGAACCTGCTTTGATTGTTCCGTTGGAATTGTGGCAAAAAAATCATAAACGGGATAAAGTAAGAAATGTGTATTGGAGCATTGGAGTTAGATGAGCTCTCCCAGGCACATACTGACAAAATACTGAATTCCTCTAGGCCAGAATCCAAACTGAACCTTTCATTTGTCCATCAAAAGTACAGCAGTGGCCTTGAACGGCATTCAGATATCCCTAACTTACGAGAACTGGAAAAGGTAAACTCAGTGCGATCCATGCTTATTTCCCTGCTTTCTGGAGAGGAACCGGGCAGGGCTGTGGAAAAAGACTCACCTTGTTCCCCTGAAGAGCGTGATCTAGGTAATTTTGAGATTTGTTTCCCGCATTCTCATGATCCAAGAAAGAAACTTGTGAATGCAATAAATCAAAATACCGGCTGAGAAATGTGATGGGGCAGATCACAGAACTGAAATGTTGCAAGCTTTTGGCTTAGTCAGTTTCTATTGGCCCTCCCTAATAGGAATCCCTCCAGTAGCGCCAACTTCAGCTCCTGTGAGCTCCTGCCTTTTGGGGATACAGCAGTTATTGCCAATGTTGTCCTGGTGGGCTTTGGGCCCCTTCTATTAAATGTCATTTTATGGGAAGTGTGCCTTTTCTGCTCACCCCATCCCCCTGGGACCGCCTTCCCTGTGGTTCCCAAATGCCCTCAAGAGCTCCGATGTGTCGGTGGGACCCCCATTGGGTTGATGATTTGATTGGTTTAGTCGGGGCTGCCCAGGGAGTGTTATGTTTTTGACTTTATTGTTTTCTGTTTGTAAGCTTCCTATATTCCGTGGGGTGGACGGCTATAATAAATTGAAATAAGTAATGTATTTTGTTAGAGAAAGTGTACTAAGCCAGGACAAAATGTGAATGTTAAGGCAGAATTTTTTCAATGCCCAATACATTATTTCTCTTGTAACTAATGAATAAAGACTAGATTGTCTGTCTGTCTGTCTGTCTGCCATATGGAACATTCACATCACATGTTTAATAAAAATACAAGAGACACAAATACAAAATATGAAATATAAAAAATCAAACGTACGTTTTTATTACAAATGCAATTTTTGCTTCATTTGTCTCCATTATAGGCTTTCTTTTGGTACTCTGTCACTATATCTTGGATAGTTGGTTTTTCGGCCCGCAGTCACAATTCGGTGGATGGCATTTTGCCTCACTTACACAGGGCATCTGCAGATCATCCATGGCTGGTTCAGTGTTGTCCATGTTGCACAGGCTGGTCAAATCCTGGTGGCTTTTCCAAGATGAGGGGCAAACGAGGAGGCTGAGAGGAGGGAAGGCCAAACATTGGTGTCAGATGCGCTTGGAAGGGTTGTGGTCCCGGTGCTCTTCAACCGTATTTTGAGGTTTTGTTTTTGCATTGGCACTGAATTAAGTAGAAGCTCTTGAAGCGCCTCCCGTTCCCGTATTTGGGCTGCCAAGGCCGCCTCCGGTTCGCAAGAGGGTTGAGGGTTGCGGCTCTGGCGGGGCAAAAGGAGGGCCGGCCCCCCTCGGACGCGGCTCCCTCCCAGAGGCGCTTCATCGGCGGACCTCGATCAATGCGGCCTCCTCCAGCCCGCCGCGCCCCGGCTGGCCGTTAGGCGGCAGCCCCGTCCGCGCCCGCCGAGAGCCCGGCCCGGCCAGGGGCGCAGCGGGCGGTGCTTGGCGGCGGCGGCTCAGGGGGCGGGTGGGGCGGCCGCGGGACCGAGCCCGGCGCCAGCCCAGAAGGCCGCGGCGGGGACGGCCCAGCCAGCCAGCCAGCCAGCACCAGCATGGGCGGCGGGGCCCGGTTGCTGCCGCTCCTGCTGCTGCTGCTGCCGCTGCTGGTCCCGCGGGGCTCGGCGGCGCCGGTGCAGAGCGAGGCGGAGGCCGAGGTGGGTGCGGGTCGGGGCGGGCGGGGGCGGCGGTCCCAGCGGCTTTCGTGCCCGCCGCACCTGCCGCTGCTGTGGGCGGCCCCGGGCGCAACTCTCGCTGCCTTGCAGGCCTGGCTGCGCTCCTACGGCTACCTGCCCGCCGCCCCCCGGCAGCCCTCCACCCTCCGCGCCGCCCGGAGCCTGGCGGCCGCCCTGGGCGAGATGCAGGCCTTCTACGGCATCCCCGTCACCGGCCTGCTGGACCAGGAGACGCGAGCGTGAGTGCCGGCCCCGCGCCGCCTTCCCCGGCTGGGGGGGAGAGGGGGGTCCCGGCGGCGGGGGCTTCGGAAGCGCGGAAAGGCCCGGCGGGGGGAACGGGGAAGCCGCGTCCCTCGATCCGCAAAGCCTCCCCGGGATGGAGCGACAGGTGGCCCGAAGGCCCCGCTCGGAAGTCGGGCTCAGCCGGGGGAGGGGAGGGGGCGCTGCGCTCCTGCCTTCCCGTCGGAGCCTCGGGCTGCTTGCGCGGGTCCAAGAGGCGGAAGGAGGCCGGCAGGCAGGCAGGCAGGGCGGCTTCTGGGCTCTGCGCTTCCCCGCGGAGTTTCCCCCGAAGAGCCCGTGGGCTCCGCTGCCCCCCCCGCTCCCCTTGACCCTGGGGGGCCCTCCGGGCACCTGCTGCCCACTGGTCGCTTTGTGGCCCCGCAGCAGCGAGAGCAGCTCTCCCGGCGCCCCGTCGGTCCCGCCCTGCCGGCAGCAGCCCAGCCCTCCCCTCCCCGCTTCTGCCCTTTCCTGGGATTTGCCAGAGAAGTTTGGAGGAGCCGGGATCTCCCGGGGGGGGGGGTGGGGGGGGGGGGGGGGTGGAGATGCCGGTGGAAAGAAGCACCTGCGGTAAGAGGCCAAAAGGAAGAAAGAGCTTTGCCCTCCCTGAAGCCAGGCTCCTTCTGGGATATCAAAGCGGGCAGGGGCACAGCGGCAAATCTGGCAGCTTGAGTCAAGGTAGGCACACAACTCCTGAATTCCTAGCAGATGTTCACTTCCTTGCCCCAGTTGTGAGCAGAAGGATTTGGCTCTGATGAAGTTTCCTGGCCAGCCAAGTTGGTGAGACATTGGGAAGAGCTGCACCAGCATAGATGGCTGGTTGGAAGAGAAGGAAGGTGGCTTTTCTGTCCCAAAAATGTCACTGCACCATTTGTAAGCTTCACGTGCTCACCCTTCTCCCACCGTTACTCAGCTCTCTTGGTCCCCTTCCTTATTTGAAAATTACACAGTTGGCAGAAGCTTTAGAGGATGGGAAGCAACGAGTTGCCTCTTCATCTGACATACAATGGGACCATCGTCATCTTGAAGCCTGCAGCCTGGATCCTGGCTAAAAAGCTCATGCTAGTCACTTCAGATAACATTCCAGGGGACAATTTGTAAACAAGAGTCATTCGTCCTTTATCCTCACCAGCATTTTTTTAAGGTAACTCTTTTTTGAGGCTTGTTCATAATTTTAAGGTTTTGAACTCATGATTGTTAGGGACCATCACCTGTTATCTTAGACCCAATAGACCATCTTTAAAGGACATGCATAGTCAGAAATTTGGACTTCAAAGGGGCTAACAATTTGATCAAAATGAAAGGAGCAACATGAATATTCAATTGCCTATCAGATTTATCAAATATATACAGCAATAGCAATAGCACTTAAGACATATACCGCTTCACAGTGCTTTATAGTCCTCTCTAAGCGGTTTACAGAGTCAGCCTCTTGCCCCCAACAGTCTGGCTCCTCATTTTACTAACTTCGGAAGGACAGAAGGCTGAATCAACCTTGAGCCTGGTGAGACTCGAACTGCCAAATTGCAATCAGCCGGCAGTCAGCAGAAGTAGGCTGCACTACTGCATTCTCACCACTGTGCCACCAGGGCTCATAATGCTGTATGGTTTGGTTAACGTCTCCAGTTTTGTTGCAGATTTATCAAAATATTTTCTGATGTTTTGGACAAATGTGTAGTGGTACAATTGGAGCACATGCTCATTTTTTTCAGAAATCTGATCTTTGTACAAGCCTCAAACGTCTTTGAGAAACCTTGCAGACACAAACTTTTTATGATGGGAAAACTGCTGTTGATTTTCCTGAGTTGGACTGTGGGTTACCAGATCTCTACAGAAGGGCTATAAAAGTATAGTCCGTGTTCTCATGGCAGCCATCTAGAAATAGGACAGATGTCCAGTGTTTTCTGAACTTTGCAAATTATTATAAAATGTGCGACATCTCTATCAAAGTTTCTGAAGAGAGGACATAAGTTAAGATGGTCCAGCCAAGAACAAGCAGGATTACAGGATTTGAAACTCTTTTCCTGTCCCTGTTCAGACAGCCAGGCTGCCCTTGTCCCTCTGTGAGGCAACCACCGAGTGTGAGGCCTTCTCTTTCTCGTTGGACTAGAAGACCCCAAGGCCCCTTTCGGTCCTATGATTCTATGAAAGGCCAAGCAGGGCTCTATTCCCTCGACTTCTCCCAGCTGAATGGAACGACGACATTTCCCTTCAAGAGCTGCTTGCAATCGAGGCAGTTTTCTGGCAAGGAAGGCGTTTCCCAGGGAGAGCAACCCCTCCTGGGCCCTTTGGGCATGCAGAGATTACGAGATTAGACTGTTGGTTTGAGCTCCAAGCTTGGCAATTTGGTTGCAGACGTTTCGACACCATTCGAAGAGACATCGTCAGTGTATTTGCACTAGTGAGATCCTGGCTCCCCCAAACTTCTCTGGCAAATCCCAGGAGAGTGCAGAAGTGGGGAATGGCTGGGCTGCCACCTGCTGTAGAATGACCATTACGACCAAGGGCAGGCCCAGAGTAAGGAGGGAGGCCTGAGGTCAAAGGTGAACCTCAGGATGGTTTTGTTCTGCGTTCTTTCAGTTCTCCTGTTACTTTCTAGAAATGTCAGCAGGCTTAAAAGTCCAGCGAGGAAGATCTTCGGGTTTGCCTTTTTGCTGCTTGTCTTCTCTTCCCTGATTATTGTAACTTGTAGGTGGATGAAGCGTCCCCGGTGTGGAGTCCCTGACAAAATTGGGGCTCAGGTCAAAGCTAACATGCGACGGAAGCGATACGCACTGACTGGACGGAGGTGGAACCAGATGCACCTGACTTTCAGGTATGTCCAGCTGTTGAGGCCTGAAGCGGAGCTACTGGGAGGCAGGGGCTGCTGTAGACCACCGCTCAGTTGCAGCTCTTTAAATGCTGAGTGAGAAGAGGTTCACATACATTTGCTCCATGCCAGGATCTGATGGTTGCAAGGCTCAGATGATTTTGTCAAAGAGGGTTACAAAGACGGAGAGGAAGGGCTGGAGGCAGGGATGAGGAGAGGAGCCAAACATGCACTTCAGAAGGCCAATTCTTGGTTGGGGTCATTGCTTGAAAATTTCCAAGACCAACAGGGACATTTCTTTGTTGCCAGGAGAACAAAGTAAGGTCTTTGAAGATTAGGAATCTTACCTTCACCTACAGATTTATTCTTGCCTTTTGAATTTGAATTGTCCGAGGTGCACCTGAATTATGTTGATTGTACAGTCACAGGTTTGGTCCCTGCTGATTTTCCAGATGCTTGGCATAGCAGCGGTGTCTGGAGTCCCTGGAAGAAACATTCTTCCTATAGATTCTCTTAAGACTCTAAATGCTGAGCAGATTTTGTGGCCTTCGTGGGAAATGGCCCACCTCATCAGATGCCCCCATACCCTGGTCAGAGAGGTGGCAGCTGTGATGTATTAGACCTGTACTGAGGTTCAGTGGCGGAAAAACCAAGCAACAAAGGTGAGGCCTGTGGATAAAAAGTGGTGATTCAAGGCACTCTCCGCTCTCTGCCTTCTCTGGAGCTCAGCACTGTCCTCAGCCGCTCTTCTGCCACAGGACTACTCTTCACCTTTGCTGGAAGCTGCAGTTGTGACTGCTGTTCTCTTGCATCTCCCTTTCAGAAAGCTTGGGGAGCAGGGGGGGGCTTGCAGCCCAGCTACTGAAGCATGGGGAACTGAGAGATGGAGGGACATTTGCAGGAGGGGAGGCTCGCTGGAGGACTTCTTAACCAAAGGCAGTAAGATTTCTCTGGGTTTCCTACCCACCCCCTGTTCTTTTTTGGCAGCATCCAGAACTATACGGAGAAACTGGGGTTCTTCCATTCCTACAACGCCATTCGCCAGGCTATCCATGTGTGGGACCAAGTGACCCCGCTGATCTTCCAGGAGGTCCCCTACAATGAAATCAGACAGAAGAGGAGAGCAGAGGCAGACATCATGGTGCTCTTTGCCTCCGGGTTCCACGGGGACAGTTCCCCCTTTGACGGCACGGGGGGCTTTCTGGCACATGCCTATTTCCCTGGTCCTGGAATGGGAGGAGATGCTCATTTTGACTTGGATGAGCCCTGGACACTGGACAACAGAGACATGTTGGGTAAGGAGAAAGTTAGAAGGGAGAGAGGGGGGCCTCCCTTGACAGGAGGAGCCACCACTAAGGCAACGGGGATAAGTGGGGGTTGAGCCTGTTCCAAGAAACTAGGTTGAGTAGTCAGACAACTCCCTCCTTAGTTTCCATGAGGGAAGGGAGAAGCCCATGCAGACATGCAGAATTCTATTTCTATGGCTTTACAGTAAAAGAATCCTGGATGGCCTTGCTTTCTTACTCTGGTCTACCTTGGAAGGGCTGACAGGAGGAAGAAAGGGGAATAGGAAACCTGTGTGGGCCTCAGCCTGCCCAACCAGATGGCACTTCCCAAGTGATTCCCACTTATTCAGTCTTAAGAGAACACCTGTCTAGATTCAGCTGGTGAAGCGTCCTGAGTTTCTATTTTCTTCTTTGCTTGACAATGTATCTCTTCCATCTATACCAGCGGGCTCCTCTTCCTTCCCTGAAGCCAGCTGCTGGCCCAGGTGGCCTCTGACTGGAGGCCCAGGTGTTCTTTGTTCGCCCTGGATGTTCCTCTTCAAGTGCAAAGGGCCCCCTGTAACTGGGCAGGTGTGGGTCAGTGGGGTGCAGAATTTGGAGGCCTTCAGGCTTTGCTGTTACCTACAGGGAACAATCTCTTCCTGGTGGCCCTCCATGAGCTGGGCCATTCCTTAGGCCTGGAGCACTCCAGCAACCCCAGTGCCATCATGGCTCCCTTCTACCAGTGGATGGACACAGACAACTTCAGGTTGCCAGAAGATGACCTTCGGGGCATCCAGCAGCTGTATGGTAAGTGGCAACCGAGTGATATTCTGGGTGTATCTGTGGGTTCAGGCTTAAAAAAAAGAGGGATGCAGGATAAATATTAAAAACTGCATGGCAGGTATCTGAAGATGCTACATGAGTGGGACGCTATTTCCTTCTTCATCTCCTGATCAGCAGTGACCAAGTGGAGATGATGATCTTTGCAACCGTCTTCATGATATTTACCATTCTATCTCGAGAACTGCCTGGCATCTGGCCTGGTGAGGGGTAAAATAAGAGCCTTGGTGGCGCAGCAGACTAAAGTGCTGTTAAGTAGCACCAGCTGCCTGCAATTACCACGAGTTCAAATCTCACCAGGCTCAAGGTTGACTCAGCCTTCCATCCTTCCGAGGTAGGTAAAATGAGGACCCGGATTGTGGGGGCAATAAATTGACTTTGTATAAAAACACCGCTTGGGGGGGGGGCAAAGCCCCACTAAGCAGGAATATACAAAAGTATGAAGGCTATTGCTTAAGACATCTCCGCCCTGAGTCTCCGGAGAAGGGCGGCATATAAATCGAACTAATAAAATAAATAAATAAATA